TTTTGTGGATTTTAAATAAATTCACTATTTAGTTCATTTTCAACAAAGCAATTAAGATGTTTTAATTTAACTCAGAATTCATCCTTAGAGTAATAATAGAGTAATAAGTGTTTTAGAGGCAAACTCTACTTCTCTCTCTCTCTCTCTCTCTCTCTCTCTCTCTCTCTCCCTCTCCCTCCCTCTCTCTCTCTCTCTCTCTCTCTCTCTCTCTCTCTCTCTCTCTCTCTCTCTCTTTTGGTTTCCTCAATAATTTTAGAAATCAGTCATAATCACTCATTACCAAAACTGGCTGCCTCACGGTTCTTAGTGTAACAAATGTTATTGCTGTAATTCTCAAACGTAGGTATCATGCTGACTTGAATTCTAATTAGCCTCTAAGCAAGAAGAACACTGCATGGCTAATGCATTCAGTGTCAAGACACATTAATCAACATTTTTTGGGAGGTACTTTTAGCAACCAGGCAAATCAGCACATATTTTTCAAACTCTGTGGTACTATTTTGGAGGACAATGAAAATCAGATCTGCTCAGGAACAATAAATATCACAGAAAACATGACTTTGTCTAGAGAGGGCTTTCAGACAGGTTACTTCTTTAATTGATCATGGCTTATAAAAATAAATAGTAATAAATGAAAAACCAGATATTTTTCTGTGAGCAAGAACTAATCAGTTAGGACTTTCTGGCCACCATTCTGCCTAACAAATGGATTGTTCTGGAAGTCTATCTGAAAACATCTGGCAAGCCATTTCTGGGAATATGAAAGTTCCTCTCTATCTCTCTCTTCCTTCTTTTCTTCATTGGACAAATAACCCCTGCTAAGTATTTGTTGGTTCTTCTTACCCTAATGGATGCTATCCCAGTGACCATTTAGAAGGTAGAGTGAGGCTATCTGAAATATTCCCTTGCTGTTCTTAGAAAGTCAGTTAAGGTTTTATTATGGAATCCTAATCCTAAGACTTCATGAAATTTTCAGCAGTCATTAGATTTCAGGAAAGCCATGTCCCTAAAAATTTCCTGGCTTTGCTTTGTGTTTTTATAATATAGAACAGCAGTTGTTGTTGCTTTCATGGTTGGTGGACAGGATTGTAGTGGCTAATATGGCTACTTAGTCTCCTTATTCTTTAAGTTGCTGTTACAGGGAGATATTTTGGATTGGTTGCCTTGAGGGGTAGATATATTATAACAGATTAGTTGAAGAAAAATGACTTCAACCAAAATATATCTTATTCAGGATTAAAATGGAGACATTTTGTTCACTGTTAGGTTGCATGTTTTATTAAATAAAACTGAATTTTACCAAATAAGACCATTAAAAATGTAAGAAGGATAGCATTGGCATGGAGGGTCTGCCCTCCCCCCTTACCAAGATCTCTTTAGTGTCTGGCTTAAAAGACTACACTGGATTCTCATCCACACTTCTACATTCGGTATCTGAGGGTGAACAGCTGGTGATGTGGCTTCAGAAGGTTTAAGGCCAAGCCACTCATGGAGCTTGGAGGTTATATAAAATAATACCAAGAACTGTCTGAATAAGCTGTTATACTAACCTTTCCTTGTCCAATTACCTATCTCAGATGTGTAAAATACATCGCCCCGAACAACAAAGTGAGAAACTGAATGTAGACGTCTGAGAGAGCCAGGGTTTCCCCAGAACACTGTCAGAATCACTAGTGTAATCTGGGGAGATGAGTAAGCTTAAAAAGTGCAGGATGGTGGTGCCACACACCTTAATCCAGCTCTCAGGAGGCAGAGGCAGGTGGATCTCTGAGTTTGAGCACAGCCTCATCTACAAAGTGAGTTTCAGGACAGCCAGGGCAACACAGTGAAAGCCTTTGAGAGGAAAAAAAAGGGGGGGAGGAGGAGGGGAGAGGGGGGAGAGGGGAAAGGATGGAAGGACGGGAGGAAGAAAGATCTTAAGACCCCAAGATGCCCCCCCAAATCTTCATGCCCTGTCTATATCAGCAGTAGTTTCTGAAGCCAGAGAGAGAAGAGACCAATAATTATCCCCACCCCATCCCACCACAAGATGTAGCAATGGCCCAAAGTGACTGAGCACTCTCAGAGGGAGCAGACACAACCCTGTGATCCACTCCAGGTTTTGCCTTGAATACATTGGAATATGAAGGGTGTCAAGATGTACATATGTGACTGGTACTTTTTGCAGTGGTGATCATGAGCAACTAATAGTACTAGAAGCCTTTAGAAGCATATAAGAGCAATGGCACTAAAATAACTGAAACTATCAAATCTGCTCTGACTTTATCTCTTGAAATTAAATAATTTTACCCTGAACTGCCTACTAAAGAAATTTAATGTGTCTTTAAAAGGAAGAAAAGAATGCCTTTATCTATGTGATAACAAAGCCCTGTTAGTGAATAATGCAACTGCATGCTTAACATTTTTGTAAACTAAACACTAACTCAAATAAGGAAGGTGTTTCTGTGACTTCTGCCCTTTCTCCTTTTTATTAGTATGCTTTAATAAAGCTTCCACTTGGCTGGCTAAAGAGATAATTTTATTTCTGCTTGAAAATGTGTAAAGAGGACAAATTGACAAGCAAATATTCAACCTCTACTTTACAATTTCGGGACATCCGTCATGACCAATGACTTTAATGTTCATTCCAGAATTGTTCCTGAAAGTGGAGAGAAGATCTGTCCTATTCATGTTAAATACTACTTTATTACAAGAAATATTTTATTTGTAGATAAATGTACCCTTTGTAGTATTTTTGTTTATAAAATTACAAATCAAATTATTTTGCTGAAGGTGGAATTACAAATGACTTCTCTGAATTGAGTTCAGATTTTTATTTTGAAATATTAAGGGGTATAAAATATTTGCCAGGTTTTCCCTCCCAGGAGGTGGTAGATTGTGGTGCCAAGTAGAATAGGAACTATAGGAAATAACCTTACCATCAACTTCAGTTATGAGGCGCAGCCCCCACTTTCCACCCTTAGAGTGCCCAAGTCAGAGGAAACCTGTGAGTGGTGGGTGTGTCACCTGAAATGTTTCATGGTGATCACATCCTTCTGTTCCCAATACCAAAAATCTAACTTTTTTATACAGAACATTTGAAAAATCCCCTTGATTCGAACATTTTAACACACCTTGCAGAACACCTGCCTATGCCTTCCTGCTTAATTCCAAGCGCCATGAAATAGGTTCAGTGACAACTGACTTAGATGAAAATCAACTGAACTGATAATTCTTCCAGAAATAGTTCAAGCATGAATAAAACATGCTTTAAATTTTGGTTATGTGTTTTACATTTTAAATGGCTAGACCCTTCCTTGTGTTTTGTTTCCCTTGGCTAATTAAAAAGAAAATAAAGCTCTATGGATAATCACGGCAGGGTGGACACTGGTTCAGGTATTCTTTTTGACACCAAATATATAACTTCTTTTCTGACACAAGATCTCCAACTTTCTGTCAGATGCCACAGGTTTCAAGGTCAACCCTGCAAAATAAACTTCATTTCCATGGCAGGTAGCAAATTCCCAGTTCCTTGGATTATCTGCACTTCTTCTGATGTGGCTCTGAATTTAGGGCTTTCTAAGACACCATTTCAGGAACTGTCTAGAAGGAATCACAGTTCAAGAAGACAAAGTGCTGTGCCTGCATATGTAGTTTATTATAAAAGTAGAAAAAGAATGGCCCAGTGAATTAGGGCAATGTCTAGAAGACCGCTGGCCAGCTAGCCACAAAAGCCTCTCTCTTTGTAGATCTGAATGCTCCAACCTCCTGGCACAGAACTGTCTGCTGACTGAGAATGTCTACATAGGCTCTATCACTTAGGGGTTTCTATGGGGATTCCATTGCATGATTGATGAAATCACTACCCTTTAGTGACTGAATCCATTCTCCATCCATTCCCCCCCCCTTCCCATTGGTTAAGAAATAAATGGAAAATTCCAGCCTTCTGGCCATCAGATTGGTTCCTTACACCTTGACAATATCTAGGGGGTCTCACTTAGTGTCACATATTGTTGGAAGGGACTAGTTACAGACAAAAAAAGCATGTCCCTTACCATTTCTGTAACCCAGAGGAATCTAAGGCTTAGAATATCTAGGTCTAGGCCTGGGTGCCATTTATTATGCCACAGATGAATTTTGTCCAGGTAGTAGAGATAATGTTTTGAGAGGTATGTATAGCAAGAAGAGGGACTTTCCTTTTCCGCAGAACATGACTATTCTCTCCCAGCCATATTCATCGTATCAGCTATGTATTGTTACCTACTGCCCTACTCCAGAAAATAGTTGCTGAAACTGTTGCTTATAGTCTCTGAATGACAGGAATTCAAGCAGAACATGGCAAGTGCTTCTGGCTCTGAGTCCCCGAAGAGACTGCAATGAAGCAGGCACCCAGGGCTGTGTTCCCTTTAGAAGATTCTGAGGGGCTGGAGAATCCACTCCCAATCTCCATTGCAGAGTTCTTGACTGACCACAGTCCTGACACTGACTCCTCCATCAGGCTACTCACAGCAAGGCAGTTTGCTCCCCTCAAAGCAGGTGATTCAAGTGAGAAAATACAGGAAAGACCCGCCCCCAAATAGAAACCAACCTTCACAGCTTAGACCCAGATGTGATGTCCCATTGCTCCCAGAATATTTTACTCACTAGGTTTACATAGTGAGTCCACTCTTGACTCAAGGGGAAGAGATTTCACAAGGCTATGGACACAGGAATGGTATCTTATACTCCTCTCCAGATCCACCCAAACACAACTGGTCTTAGTGTGGTAAATAACAAGAAACACCAGACAGATGAGGGAAGAAGTTACTGTAAAAATCTTAATCCAGTGACCTTGTTACTTGCTAAAGCATCTCTGGAGCTCCACTCAGAGTTTTCATTGAGTTCTCGGTTTTCGTCTTATTGTAAGTAGCATGATCTCAGCCAGAACGCTTGTACACAATCAAGGAAATAAAATCACAAAAGGAAGATGAATAATGTCTCGCGTGCCCATCTTTTTTTTTTTTTTTTTTTTTTTTTTTAAGGGAGAACCAGGCTTCATTGGTCCTCAAGGAGAGCCAGGGTTACCAGGGTTACCAGGAACAAAAGTAAGTAGACCTTTATTCCCCTTGCTTTCCTGGGAAATTTGTGTCAGCCCTACTGAGAGGAAGGTGAGAGGACCACACTGTTTAGATGACCATATATTTCTACCTTAAACTGGAGGCAGCCTGATCACCTATTAATGACACACAGTTGGAAGTTGTATCCAGGAAGCTCTAGGCACATCAGCAGGGGGGAATGGGGAGTGCAAGTTTGCCCTCTGAATCCCTCACTAAGTGTGATGCCACTAGCCTCCTGGTGACATGGGAGGGTAGCTGAGAGAGAGGAGGGCTAGACCCACCAACCCCTGCCCTTCTTCATCTGCGTTAGGATACAGTTGTAAACTGGACATTAATCCCATCCCCATGGATGTCACAGAGATTTCTAAATGCTTCATTCCAAAAAGATCTACCCTGCATGATGTTTTCAGACATATTCTTTAATGAAAGCCATCTTTTAATGTTCTACTTGGCAACCTTAAAGAGAACCCTGAAAGCAAAAGCTTTATGCTGCCATGAATAAAGAATACAGTGCTACAGAGTCAAGACCAGAGTTCTCTCTCTATTTGCCCAGTAAGACATAAAAAGATAGAAGTCTGATGATGGAGCTGTGCTCATGACATACTCATAAATCAAAGGTACAAAGTGGCATCAACTTATATTTATTTTAAATCATAGCAGACTTTGCTTTGGTGAGTTCTCAGATCATCAGAAATAGGCTAGGGGTGATTTCCAATAGTTAGAGAAATATGTCATGGTTTATTCAGACAGACTACTCTTCATTTCTGCTTAGGTCAAGTGAAAATAACTCTGATCCTAGCAAGTGGAAACTATTCATTGCCTAAGGGGACTGGAACTCATAGGATTATGCAAAATTGCTTCAAAAAGAAATCTCATTTTCACACAATGTGCTATCAGGCTCATTATAGAAATTCTGTTTTAGATTTGCATAAGATAGACCCTTATGGGAGGAAAGGAAAGACAGAAAGGAAATAAATTGTCTGTTGATATGAGGACTGCTATATTGACTGAATTTGAAGCTGTAAAGAGAAGAGAAGGTGGCCAGGTGAAGGCATAGATCCATCACTACAGGGAGGGAGTGAAACCCAGCAGGGGAGACCATTGGGAACTGCATCTGTAGAAGATTTTTGCTAGATGGGAAGGTAGAAGAAACCCAGCTAGTAGAGATACTTATCCTTAAATTCTTTTTTAATAGCAGACTGCTAAACTAAACTATTCCATAGCTGAGAGAGAGAGAGAGAGAGAGAGAGAGAGAGAGAGAGAGAGAGATCCAGACATAGATCCACAAAGCTGGCAATAACTGCAGTGCTAAAGGACTCAGCAAGACTCTAAAGAGCAGATACTTCATTCTGAACCTCAAGGAGAGGGAAGGGATGAGATGCTCCAGGGTGGCATTGCTACAAGCAAGTATGTGCATAGAAAGTCATTTTTAGCAGCGTTCTAAACTTAATTGTTAGCTGGGTTCCCTATCTCAAAAAGAGTTGTGTCCTAAGGGGAAATTTCCAATTTGAAACCCTATTTTGACCCAATGATGGTCTTTTACCACTTTTATAGATGACTTGGGTTTGAACCCCTAACAGATCTGAAACACATACAAAAATGGCATGTCTATCTCAAAGGGCAGTGAAAACATATCCTAAGGAAGAAGACTAATAGCGTCTAGATGGCTGCAGTGAGGATGGCTTGTCCGAATGGTCTGTCCCTCCAGCTTTGTCAGAGCTACATCTGCCTAGAAAAGTTGAATTCCAGTCAATGTGCAAAAGCAAAAAAGATACTGGAGTACAAAGCATGGACCTTCTCCACAGTGCTATATATTTTGCTGGAATTCCTTAAAATTTGCTACAGAATGTGAATAGATGTTCATTCAATAATAGTAATCCTAGTAGAAGTAATAATAACAATAATAGACCATACTGAAGTCCTTTAGAAGTCTTTACATTTATCCCCATAGCCACCTAACAGGCATTTACCAAACTCTCTGTATTTATAAAATGGAGATTATAAGGCAGAATTACATAATAATACATTAGGGTGTTCTAGAGACAAAAATCAACATCAATGAATGAGTGGGTGGGTGAGTCAGTGGATATAGATAGATAGATAGATAGATAGATAGATAGATAGATAGATAGATAGATGAATTGTCTCATGTGATTATGGAGGCTAAGATGTCCCGCAGAAGCCAGCTATACACAAGCTGAAAGGATCCTAGTGGCATTGCTTTGTCCAGGTCTGAAAGTTTCAGAATCATGGAGGCTTGGTACAGAAACTCCTGGGCAGATGTTAAAGGTCTGAGAAGCATGCCTGGTGCTAGTCTTGCCATGGTGTCATGAACAGGAAAAGATGCTCCAGAGGGACAGGCACAGCTTGCCTGTCCTCTGCCTTTTGTTCTGTCCATCCCTAAGCCATGTGGGCAACAATTACATATTTTAAGGGTGACCCTTCTCTGCTCAGTCCACTGGCCATCATACAATGTCCCCTGAAAACAACCAGTAAGAATGCTTCAGCAGCTCCATAAATCCTCCTTAACCCAGCCAAGAGGACACCAAAAGTTAACAATCTCAGATGGTTTTGTGTATAAAACAGGGTCATTCATCTTCAGAGCTTAGCACAGTACAGGCATGCTGTAAAGAAGCAGTGGCTCTCTGTTTGCCAAACTCCTGTATTCCTCTCCAGGGAACAGCCATGGGGAGGCTGCTATTTACCTGTTTTGCAATTTGTGACAGGGTGAACGTGGAGAGGCAGGGCCTCCTGGAAGAGGCGAACGAGGGGATCCTGGAGCCCCAGGACCAAAGGTCAGTTATTCCTATATTGGAAGAGATCATTCTTTAGTTTGGGTGTGCTCACCTCCTGCTGTAGAATGTGCAACTAAGTCTTCAACAGATGCTAAAGCAACCCAGATCACGAACACCTCATTGAAATGCACACTGATGGTTATTGATTTTGCAGGTTGACTTTTCTTGTTTTCTCTGTGAAGCTCAGTGAAGAAATTTAATAACATATCTGAATGTAAAGGGAGAGTTGCTGTCATGTCACATACTATAGCACAATGTGTGTTAACAGCCAGCTGAGAAAAGCCTCATTGTCCAATGCTCTGTTCATTTCCATGGTAACTTGATGGAGTGTAACACTTTGAAAATATTAGAGCTAAGGACTTCTTTGACTATGCAATCTCTATTTACCTAGACATTATGCAAACTAATCTGGTCATACTCTGTTCTAATAACCAGCCTCTCTTGAGACAGGAGTGATCTAGTCTCTTGTGAAAAACAAGTCTAAGCATAGGACTGTTGAGACTTGTAAGAGTCACTTACAGAGCTCTCCCCAGCCACTGATGGAAAACAGTCTTGGAGTCATAATGGATAGAGGTTGGCAGAGACCAGGGAGTGAGTTCCTGTTGCAGCGATGTGTATTCTGTGTGTTATAATAACCAACAATATACTGCATTGCGTCGGGCAGCTAACATAAAGTGTGTCCATGATCCTCTTTATTCTGAGCCACTGTTCTTATCTTCCCTGTCATTCTTTTTTCTCATCTTCATACTCTCTTACAATAGGGGAAACAAGGTGAATCAGGAGCTAGAGGCCCAAAGGGGTCAAAGGTCAGTAACCAATAACCATTTTGATGTGACTTCGGGCCGTCAAGATATGTGTCTTTTGCCTTTTCCACAAAGAATTCTGTTGTTAATGAAACCTTTCCTTCAGGGCTTACATTCAGTTTGTCCCTGTGATTATATCACATGACACTGGCTGATTTTTCCTTGTTTTTAGTCTGCTCTTATCCTTCAGCCTATTCTTTTCAATAGTGTGCATATGTGTGTGCATGCGTGTGTGCACGTGTGTGTGTGTGTGTGTGTGTTATGCTGTGTGCCACAACACACATGTGGAGGTCAGAGGATAATTTGTGGGAGTCAGTTCTTTCCATCCACCATTTGGTATCTGGAGATGGACCTCCAGTTGTCAGGCTTGGTGGCAGGTGCCTTTACTTGCTGAGCTATTCACCAGCCACCTTCACACCGTTCTTTCTTTAAGAGAGGGTATCTGTCCTGTTTCTTGAGATTAGCTTATTTTGGAAAAGAGGCAGCTTATTAATTGTATTGCTCTTAACTTTCATTCCCTATCATTGTTGACAAATGCTCATGTTATACTTTTGTTTGTTAAGTAATTGCATTTAGAGAGTTCAAATACCACGCTAGGACTAGAACATGGCTCAGTGAGGAAAACTGCTTACTATACAAGGCAAGACTCTGAGTTTGAATCCCCAGAACCCACAAAATAATTCAGGCATCTGTAATCCCTGCACTCCTGCAAGAACATAGGAGGACAGAAAAGGGACTCCCCTAGAAGCTGGCCAGGCTTATACCATGGAAAACACCAATGAGACATCGTTTCAAATTAAGTGGAAGATGACAGGTGCTGACACCCAAGGTTGTGCTCTGACCTGCACACACTCTCTGTGATACAATGCAGAATAATAAAAATAAAATGTCACCCCCAATGGCATGAAATAACATGTATACTGTCTCTTAAAATGCTGTTAGTTAGTAACAGGGAAATGTATAAAATGGAACTAGAGAGTAGAAGCTGTCAGTTCCCTATCCATAGTGAAGTTAATTGTTATGGCCCATAGTACTAGTATATCTTGCAAGGGAAAAATTATAACCCCCCCTTTCTCCTTATCTTCATTGGTCCTTATCCATTTTATATAACTATGTAGAGAAACAGATGTTTTAAGTTTCATATAGAAAGAGGGCTCTAGTTTTAAGCTGTTTTAAATAACCTTTAAATATACAGATTTTAATGTTTTCTACTACTTGTCATTTTAGGCTTATCATTTGGAAAGTGCAGTCTGTTCTTGGTGTTTCTGTGGGTGGGGTTATGACATCGTCAATAAAACTCCAGAGATGATTTCAGATTGCTTTGAAATGGAAGAAGGGAGGAGGCAAAGGGGGGTAGGACAGAGGAGAAGAGGTGAGCTGAGATGAAGGAAGTCTGGCCAACCTGGTCTAGCTGGTTAAAATAGCTACAGGTAGCTACTGTCATCAATAGCTCTCTGACTGTCTCTGACTGTAAATTCCCATTCTCTCTACAATGATCACTCTATTCCTTCCTGCCCAGTTATCTGTATTTTCTTCTGTGAGGACAGATGCCACAGCAACTTGTCCCTTTTCCCTTTATTCAAATCCCTCCCAAGGGAAACAACCCTGCTCAGTCTGAAGAATAAAAGTTACTTTAGGGTAACTCACTCACTAGGCTTTTGCAAATCCTAGCCAGAGAATACATAGCCTGTCTGATTGTTCAAGATACCCTGTGTTGTGAGGAAACATTTGCCTCCCCATCAATGGCATCTGTAGGAGGTGCTTACAGTGGTGGTGGTGGTGGTGGCGGCTGCTTCATATGTCTGCTGTTCGTGTTTAAAGTGATGCTGTGTGGTACAAATAAATGTGTTAGATGTGACAGATATCATCTACATCAGTGGCTTTGCTAATTTGTGGTTTTATTCTCTCGTGGGAAAAGGGTGATCGTGGAGACAAAGGGGACTCTGGAGCTCTGGGACCACGGGTAAGTATTCCTCTTGTCTTAAACTCAGATTTGAGGTCACGACGGTGTGACTGTGACAAGCATCTGAATGGACAGTGTACAATCAAAGCCATTAGTAGTAGACATGGTTATTCCCCCTGCCAGCCTCCTCCTTTCCCTTGATTTTACTTTTTAAATTCAGGAGTAGGCCGTGTAGAGATTCTTACCATACAATAAACTTAATTCTGGAGAAAAAGTAGTATGAAGCCACAGCAACCCAGCTAATGAGACTTTAATTTTTTCAGTTAAAGCAATAGTCCATCTATTTACACTCTTTAGAAAAGCCAGAGAGCTAGGACACAGGTCATGGAAAGTGTGCAGCAGATATCGTGGATAGTATAGAAGTCTAGACTATGTAGAGAGACATTGTGTGTTCTTACTGGGGGAATGTATATTTGTAGGTATGTAACATTCTTCTCTTGCATTTCCTCTAGTTTTGGACATACAGGATAAAATTCTTATTGGGGAAGGCAAGCATTTTCTACATGACATGGTTCATCATCTCTCTCTTCTTATGAAATGAGGAAGCAACCTATGATTTATAGATGAGTAGAAAGAGGTTAGGGGTTGCCATAATAAATCAAAGAAAATCAATAATATTTTGCAAGGCACAAAGATTATCATTTTCTTGGAGTCAGTTTCACATCTACCATAGACAGAAAGTTAGAAGTGGCCCATCTCCTTTACAATATGAACAAAATTTAAACAGTTATTATTCTGAAATGTGCTTGCATCTTAGTAAGGGAATAACAGACAGGGGGTACTTGAGCTACTTCACTTTTGCCACCATCTTGTAGACGCCTAACACCCATGACTTTCCCTTGGTTTGTTTTTTTGTCACAGGGTCCACCCGGACAAAAGGGAGACCCAGGAGCTACTGAGATCATAGACTACAATGGCAACCTCCACGAGGCCTTACAGGCAAGTGACTATTCACATGAAGAATGACACACGCGGATTGTGTTGGTTTTCTGTTGCTGTGATAAAATACCAGGACCAAAAGCAATGTATGGAAGAAAGGGTTTATTTTAGCTTACGGTTTCAGAAAGCTAGAGTTCATCATGGCATCAGGAGTAGGAAGCCAAGGGCTCACATTTTCAGTGAGGCAAGTGGGGCAAGGCTATGAATTCTCAAAGCCTGCCCCCATTGATGGACTTCCTCCAGCAAGGCAGCAGCACTTCCCCAAACAGAATAACCAACTGGGGACTAAGTGTCTAAACACCCGAGCCTGTGGGGGACACCCTCACTCACATCACCACAGTGGGTCCATGTGACTCGTTAATGACGTCTCTCTTCACCACTCACTTGAAGCACCCATACTCCCTTCTCTTCTGAGCCCACCTGCCTCCTGCCCCAGTAGTCTTTAATTTGTAGCATTGTAAATTCCTGGGCTTTCTTTTTTTGTTCCCCTTATGCTTTTAAATATCCCTAAACCTTATCTAGTATAAACATTGGACTAGTTTAGGCACATTTTGGCTTCCTCACTCTAACAGAAAATTTCACAAGCAGGAACTGCATGAGTTCAGATTTCAACTGGCTTTCTTACCAGAGATGTAACCTAGCTGGTTCTTCCACTTCTGTGTGCCTCTGTTTCTCCATATTTGAAATGAAGACACTAGCAGTATCTACATCATTGGGTTATTGATAGCAAGTGGCTAAGTATATGACACACTCTTTGAACAGCCCTTGGCACATAGGCATCTATATATATTTTCTTAAATTTGTGTTTCAATTTTTTACTTTTCATTCAGTGAAAAAATAGTTCACAAAGTAGTTCCTGTGACTTGTTCTACCACCCTTGCTCCTTAGTCAACCTTTCCATGTTTACACGCGTACATTATAGTGTCTGTCGTCCCAGTGGAGACCTTCAGGTGAACTCCATAATAATCACCACCCTTGACTCTCCTGGGGCTTTTATACCAAATCACCTTCTTTTCAAAAGAATTTTATTTTGCTTTCTCTGGCCTTCTGCTTTAGTTTCCTCCATTCTTTCCCTCTAGTGAAGCCATTCTATTTTGGCATTTGACATCTTTTATCCATCCTGACATTTTGATCTTTCCTTAGGTAGGATGGCTACTCCCTCTGTGTTGTAGCAAGTTGTTTTCTGACAGTTCTGCAATTTCTGGGGCCCTAGTCTGTATGACTCCAGCTATTTGGAAGGGTTCCTCCATGGCCACATGTTTTTCTTTTGACTTCCACCTAGTTCTAATGGGTACTTTCCTCACCTACTGGATGACTCACCTGAACAACTAACTGCTAGCAATTGATGATGCCATATTTCTTCCTATTGCATGAAACAGAAGGCTTAGAAGCATCTTACAAGTGCTCTTAGTCCTTCTTACAATGTTATACCGGGAGCTTTCTCAAAACTCATTCTCAACACTACTCCTTCTGTCCATTCCCAAATATTGGTCCACATCCTGTTTATCCCCTGTCTAGCACTGTACCAATCCTGTGGCCAAGTCTGCCTCCCTGGTGTCTCCTGGCCCTTCTAATCTAAACGATATGTCTCTACGGCTGATTTTTCGTAAGCTGTCGTTACTTTGATTGCTCCAATTTGCTCAAAGGTCTTTATATGAGTCCTTGTAGCCTACTCAATCAAGACCAAGTTCCTCTGTCTGACATCAGTTAAGGCTTTACAGTGCTATCTTTTGGTATCTTTTCTGCCAAGATATTCCTTTAATCATATCTCTACAAATCTCTTTTGCCTAGGATCATCCCATTATTTTTCTGTTCTTTTGTTCATTGAATCTGATCCATAAATTCACTTCTGTCACCAGTCCAAAGTCCATACATGAGAAGTTACAGGCCAATATTGTGACATATGATTACTCTCTAATTGCATAATTGGTTTTAGTCTTTTCATTGCCATTTTGTAAGTTTCTTGGTAATATGTCTTCTGTTTATATTGCCTGGGCTTGTAAATGTGCAGTGAACAGTTAGCATTTAGTTGGGTGGATAATGCCACTTTTTATGTCCAAGCCATTTCTTAGTTTAAAAACTAAACACTTTAACTAAGTCCTTCTATTGTATACCTATTTTAATGTTTATTTCCTCGTGGTTTTACCACTGTGGTCTAATTTTCATAGACTTGTACTTTTATGTCCAATTTGGACAAATGTGGATTGGACAGTATCTTCATCCAGCTGCCTAGTTTAGCATCCCTCATTACAAGAGGCTTAAATGTAAACAGTAACGTTGGGATTACTGTCAAATTCTTGAGCCAATTTTCTGAATGTGTCCCTTTCCCCCTGCAAATTGATAATTACATGGGGAGGGGTAGAGACAAGGAACAGGCAGATTTTTTGAACCTAACATCAAAATTCTTACACAGTAGAACAGGGACAGCTCTTAAACTTTATTAGCAATGTTGTGCTACTTCCAGTTGCCACATAGGCTTCATCTCCACATGTTAAAGGTGTTCCAGTTACTTTCTGTGCTGTGTAGACTTACTGACTTAAAAAAAAAAAAGTAGAGGATACCTTTTAGCTTATAGTTCGAGTAGGATGGTGTCAGTCATGGTAGAACAGACATGGTGAAAGGCAATGAAAGTGTGGAAGCCAGAGCAGGGTGGCGGCTGTTCATGTTGTGCCCATACACAGGAAGCAGAGAGAGAGCAGAGATGGGGGTGGACTGGGCTATAAACCCTGAAAGCCACCTCTACTGATGTACTTCCTCCTAATGGTTCTATGACCTTCCAAACAGTGCCACCACTGAGGACAAAGCATGCAAATTCATCATCCCATAGGGGACTCATCCAAACTATCACAAGGGGCACACACTCTTATCTTTCCAAGAAATGCTCTCATGGCATTTTCTGCAGTGTTTTGAAGTGTTTTTAAAGCATCTTTTGCATGAACAGGAATATGGGCTGTGCTTACACTGATGTGACATTTCTTTCGTTCTTCCCTCCATCACTTAGGAGCTGGGCCACGTTAGGGAAATCACTGTATCTATGCTTCACTGACCTCGTCTGTAAAATGGAGTGGATTTTTTTTTCTGAGAGCTTGTAAAATACAGTGTTATCCTTAGGGTAGGGTATGGGAGCTCCTGGAAACCTTTTACTGAAATCCCTGAAGGCACTGTACTCTTTGGAAAATAAATCTGACAACTGTTCCCAGAAATGAAAGGATACACACTTCTGTGTCTTTCCTTCTTCTTTTATTACCTCAAGTGCTGTATGAATGTAAATAGCACCCAGTTCATATCCATCACAGTCAGTGATTTACACCACCTCAAACCCCAATGCTATATCACCATTGGGTCAACTGTGTGCCATGATTATAAAGAGCTTAGAGTCATTTTTCAGTTGAAGGCTGAAAAGAAGGAAGCCATCATCCTCCTGACTTTGTACTCTGCAGAATTGAGAGTCTCCAATAAGATCAATCAATCAAGTCAGAAAGGCATTAGGGGAAGAAGAGCAGATAAACATTTATTCTCCTCAATTTCTAACCAATGATGCTTGTGTCATTATTGTCTAACACTCTAGAATGATTACATAGATACGAATGTATTACAGTTGCAATATCGTGTTAGAACTATCCTATTCTATGAAATAGTTAAGACTATGAAAAAATAAATATCAAGACTAGTTTAAGTAACTTCTCTGTATTCAATATCCAGTGTGGGAGATAAGATAGTTGAAGCACTCTGCATATTATGTACCTAAGATAGTTGGCATTTTGAATTAGGTATTTATAATTTTCATCCATTCTTTTGTATTTAAATGAACAACAAAATTTGAAGTCATATAACAAATTGCTGATTCTAGCCTTTTGATTGCTGACCTGTCTTGTCTTCCCCACAGTGAAATATCTACATTTCCAACATCAGCACATGCTATCCATGTTTTCAAATTACTCCTTTGTGTCTATTCTGTTGGAAAGGTGGTTAAATTATGTTGGTCCACATAAAAGACATTGTGGTTTATGTAAGCATTGCCTTAGCCTTTTGTTTTGATTCAAGGTGGCTACAGATTCATAGTAAGCAATAAAACATCTGTTTCCTAGGTTAGATGTAAAATGTTTTATCACTAACACTTCCTTTATTGTAATAATGATTCTTTTTATGTGCTTAAGATACACTTACATCATTTCCCCCTAGACCCTCTTATTTTCTCCCAAATCCACAGCCTCCTTTTTAACCATTGTTACAGACAAAGGAAAGAATATGAATATGAATATGAATGTGAATATAGCCTGTTTATCCCTTGGTGTAAGTACAACCATTTAGTGGGGTGTAGGCAGAGTTTTTCATCATGATCACTGGTCAGCTCTGTCCGAGTTTCTCCCACATAACCATGGAGATTTAATTGTAAATGCTCAGATGATAGCTTAGGCTTGTTACTAAGTAGTTCTTATAACTTTAATTAGCCCATATCTCTACGTTCTAGTATGTGTCTTGGTACCTTATCTCAGTATGGCATGTTGACCTGCTCCTTCCTCTGCATCTTGCTGGAAACTCCCAAGACTCTACTCTTCTTCCCAGCATCCTCCTAGTCTGGTTCTTCCACCCAATCTCTTCCTGTCTGGCCATAGGCCAGTCAGCTCTTTATTAACCAATGAAAGTAATGCATATTTACAGCATACAAAGATTCTTCTACAGCAGGGGTGTATCCCTGGGGAATACTAGTTCTTTCTCTCTTGGAAGTTGTTAATTGCTTGTTTTTTCTAGGAGTGGAAGGCCCTGGGATATTTCTCCCTTCTACTTTGGGATGTCAACTATTGGAATTGCTCAGGTCTTTTAAGGCAGCCATGCTGTGGACATTTTACATGTGTAGCTTTCCATGTCATATCTAGAAGAAACAGTTTCACAGAAGGCTTCCAGGTTCTCTGGCTCTTCATGTATCAGTTTGGGCTGGGTCCGCCATCATGGTCAGTTGATCTTTGCAATGGTCTCCTGCTTCTGGAAAAGGGACTTAATCTCCCATCATTATAAAAAGTGAAGAAGAATAGCCTAAAATTTGGGCAAGATTTTCATACAAACATCCCAAAATGAGTCATACAGCACAAGATTGACATTTACTGTTAGCTCCCACCTCATCTCAGATCATGTCTCACTGGAATATCATGTTTTTCTCCATCACTTCCATAAATTCTGGTTTTTAAATCGTTACTAGCATTCACAAGGGAGTCCTGCTTGGATTATGTAGCTATAACATTGAAGAGGCCATGTTGTAGGATGACTCTGTAAAATGCATGTGGCTGCCTCCAGGTGGTGGTCAAGGTGTTATGCCAGTGAACCTGGCTGACTTTTGTGACCACTTGCTCCCTTCTGAGCTACAGTGGAACCTTCACAATTTTGAGGTCTCTCAAACAGTTATTAGTACATCATTTCAACAACTTCTGCTAGTTCATTTGCCACTAATGATACTTTCATTATGCAGCTCATTATTTTAAAAGAAATGTTAGAAGCATTAACATTTTTAAGAAAAAGGACAAACAAGACATGCGAATGTGTATGTGTGTGTACAAATACATATATATATATATGACCTTACTAAATTGTAAAACTACTTACCTTCATAAAACTTTGTAATTTAGCTTTCTAATTAAAAATATAACATATGATTGAAGGACAGTGGTGAAGAAATTCTCTTTATCACTCCTTTGCTTTAGTAAATCACTCATTTACACCATAGGAACAAAACAGCTTTCTCGGGGCTATAAATGCAATTGTTGTGCCTAAGAAAACCTCTTTAAAATAGTGTAAGCATTACCTTGTATTATATAGATCGACAGATAGACAGAAAATTCTGGGTACATATAAAAACTTGCTCTTATTTCATTGACATTTTGCAACATCAGACTTTTTTACTGCATTATCTGAAGCGGTAATCACACCAACTGCTTTTATCATGCAATACAAATGGATCTTTAACATGAATAAGCATAATTCCTTTTAACTATGTCACTAAAGAGTCATCCAGGTATTTAAGGTGAAATAAAGTTAAGGTTACTTTTTACAACAACAATTGTAGAAATGGCAACAAAGTTGTGACTCAGAGACTAGAATGCAGTGACAGAATATAAGGGGTATCGTTAAGACCATACCCTCAAGTGCACATAGATAGCATCAGATAATACCTCTCTAGTTCACATAGATGATAGCATCAGATAATACCTCTCTAGTGCACATAGATGATGGCATCAGATAATACCTCTCTAGTGCACATAGATGATAGCATCAGATAATACCTCTCTAGTGCACATAGATGATAGCATCAGATAATACCTCTCTAGTGCACATAGATGATAGCATCAGATAATACCTCTCTAGTGCACATAGATAGATAGCATCAGATAATACCTCTCTAGTGCACATAGATAGCATCAGATAATACCTCTCTAGTGCATATAGATAGCATCAGATAATACCTCTCTAGTGCACATAGATAGATAGCATCAGATAATACCTCTCTAGTGCACATAGATAGATAGCATCAGATAATACTTCTCTAGTGCACATAGATAGCATCAGATAATACCTCTCTAGTGCACATAGATGATAGCATCAGATAATACCTCTCTAGTGCACATAGATAGCATCAGATAATACTTCTCTAGTGCACATAGATAGCATCAGATAATGCCTCTCTAGTACCAAAAGGCCTGAGTGGGGAATCACTCCTTTCTGTTGTTTCAATAAGCAGGTAGAGCTCTTAGCACAGATGCAAGCTATAAAGCCAAGAGGAGGTGGTGGTGGTGCACTCGGGAGGCAGAAGCAAGCTGATCCCTGTGAGTTTGAGACCAGCCTGGTCTACAAGAGCTAGTTCCAGGACAGCCTCCAAAGCCTCAGAGAAACCCTGTGTCAAAAAACCAAAAAGAAAAGAAAAAAGAAAAGCAAACAAAGATGTAAACTATAAACTATTAAATATAAAACACAATTACAAAATAGGAATCATGTTTTAGAAGTTCCTGCTTTGAAACAATATATTTTGTTGAAGTATTTGGCACTTCAACAATCTAATGTCACTTTCTTTGGAAGGGGGGATCAATTATCATGTAAAACATGAATTACAGAGTAAGAGGAGAAATATTCACTTTTCCCTAATCAAAATCCTATCTAGAATGGAGTTTTTACCAATAGCGAATTTCAGAATTCACTATTAGGCTGACCAACCTTTAGCACACAAGTGCTTAACAATATAATTTTTTAATTTTGTTAATTTTAAAAATCAGGCAAATGAGAATTTTTATGCTTTATTTCCTTATAATTTTTAAAATAAAATTCTAAAAATGTCTTCAACCCCTTTACAAGTATGTTGTATGTGGTGTCTGTTACTTAAAAGACCTTTGACTTGCCAAAATATTTTAGAAGTGAAGCTTTTTCAGAAATCTGTCACTCTATTTTGACACACACAAAATAGGTAACTCTTATCTTTGTTGATCCATTTTCCCAACAGAGGATTACTACCTTAACTGTCACGGTAACTCCTTTTGCATGATCTCTGTGGCTTGTGATTTTGAATTTTGTAAGGATGCATGCAGGTCAAGATAGTACTAATGTAGCAATTGGTTTTATCTGGTGTTTATGTTATTAACCTTTTAAAACATGTGACCTAGTTAAATTACTGTCTGTTCTGTGGGAAAGTCCCAAAAAAGTTATCACTTTAAGACTTTAGCCTCCTGTTAATTAGATAGCTTGATCGTTTGCAGCTTAGAAACCAAAGCCTTCGTAGAGCATGGTGGTGCATGCCTTTAATCCTAACAACTCTCAAGGCAGAGACAAGTTCCAAGCCAGCCTGGTCTACATAGGGCAGCCAGGACTGCATAGAGAGACCCTGACTTAAAAGAAAGGAAAGAGGGAGAAGAAGCCAACGCCTTTAAAGTAGATGACTAAGGAGGGAGGGGTAACATCAGGCAGGCAATTCACCACAAGAAGATGTGTGCAGAACAGGGGCAGCAATTGTCAACTGGTTCATTGAATCAAAAGCTCTTGTTGTAGCATAGTATCCTGAAGAGTGTACTGATAGTTCAGAACTCAAGTTGGCAGTTTTTATCATCATGTAGCTGATGAATTATTAAATATTGCCCCATTGAAAATCAGTATCTGGACATCTCTAAGTTATGATAGAAATGATGGAGCTGTGTGGTGTGCTTGCTATTTTAAAGCCTGAAATTTTAACATGTATACTTGCTACATTTTACAACTGTCTTTCTTGTCTTGATTCAGGGCCCCCCTGGACCTCCTGGACCTCAAGGACTGCAAGGGCCAAAGGTTATCCATCCTTCCTGTTTCCTTTTACCACATACAAGGCAGGGATGCCGTGCTAAATATGCATGTCGTTATAAACTATGTCTTACAAAGTACTAGAAGAAGCAAGGCCAGAAGTACTATTTCTGAAGACGAGGAACTGGAACTGGAGCCTCAGCTAAAGGAAGGGAGGGAAATGGAGAGTGACCCAAATTTAGGAAAGAACATTGGGAAAAGAGCAGAGTATTAAACACAGAAATTATAAATGTACAAAAACAGTTTTGTACATATGCCTATGGGATAAGGTAAACAGACAGATGAGGATTGAAGGGAGTTTACTCTCGCCACTAAGAAAGACCCTCTCTTCTAATTCTCTTGTAAGAAAAGAACAAGGAGAACCTTCCCATGATGCATTCATAAACGACTGGCAGGTTTAGGAGCCATTCTCGAGACATGTTTTACATGTTTTATTTTCTGCCCCATGTTTTATCAAATGAAGCATGCTAACCACAAACAGCACAATCCTAAATTTCCTTGATTATACACCATCTTTGTTGGTGGTTTTAGCTTTATCCCTCCACACTAAAGCTCCGTTATTCAACCATGTCTGAGCAATTAACACATGTCCAGGGATTCTGGCTTTTCAGAACTGAGCTACATGTGTTGAAATATGACTTTCGACAGTGGATTCTTGTAGAAGATTCAAGTGGTTTCAAAATTCACTTTTCATTTATGCTTCTTAAGTTGGTTTATTTGCTGTGCCTATTGTGCATACACACATTCATGCACACATTAGCTTTTGTACTTTCTCGGATACTTAAATGTCCAGTGTAGAGAGAGATTTATTTCTCTATTAAGAGACTATAAAATAAAATATGACTGAGGTCCTTGTCTTTGTGAGATGTATTCAGGGCATAGATCCTAACACAAGCATGTTCCCCATATAACATTAACATATGGTATGGAACTCTTTAGCTAGTTCTGTACATAGTCTTGTCCCTGAAATCATAGCACAAATACACAAGTCACACCATTCTCTCTGGCGAGCATTCTTTCTGGATCCCTCTCCTTCGCTGCTTGATGAGCTGGGCTAGACACAGAAGGAGCTCTGGACATTCTCTTTTCCTTCATGTAGTGTCAATCCAGATGAAACTTCTTGCTTTGTCTCCTCTCAGAACTAAATCTCAAGAACCACATTTTTCTCCAAAGTTGACCATGTGCTTCGTTTCCCACAAAATGCAAAGGTCCCCTGATTTCTCCACAGCTCTGAGGCCTATAACAGGCTCCAGGCATTGACCTAAAGAATTACAAAGGGCTGTCCAGCTAAAAAAGGCTACCTCACCAAACCCTCAATCTCTCTTCTTCTATAATCACTTGTTAATTCAATTGCCCAGGAGGTAATTATGATCCTTCACACTCTGATAATGGTATTGAATCTGCAAAGAGGTTTTACTGCGATCTTAGAACCCAGGGTATGAGACAGGCACCCAAAGGCATGATCAGTAATAAAAGTAAGCGCTCTGATTGGGGGACAGGGTGTGATGGCTCAGTAGTTAGGAGCATTGGCTGCTCTTCCAGAGAACCCAGATTACATTCCCAGCACCCATATGGTGGCTCACAACCATCTCTAACTCCAGTCTGAGGATCTGGCACACTCTTCTGGCCCCTGAGAGCACCAAGCGCACACAGCACAAAGACACACATGCAGGCAAAAATAATTCTATTTTTAAAAAGCGTGTGAGGTGGATATGCATAGGAATGCCTCTCTAAGTCTGGAAGTCCAAGATGGGTTTGAGTTGAAACTGAAGACAGAGATGCTAACCATATGGACATTTGTCCATGTGGTAACAGAGAGGCATCCAATCCCTCCTCACTACTGCCATCCTGGCCACCATACTGTCATCATCAGCCCACCCTTCCCAGTGTCTTAGCACTAATACCATGTTATAAGACAAGCCTTTATAGTTCCCACAATCTGTTCTTGAGAAAGTCGGGGCGATTGAGGTGGGTGTGTCTGACACTATGAGACCGCACAGCATACCCTGAGGCAAGTATAGTGCACATTCCCAGGTCTGAAGTCACGGTGGTAATCTACTCATTTGGTATTTCTCCTTCCAGTGTCAAATAAGAGGTATTTTAATGTTTTACACATGAAAAAAATAAAACACCTCTTACAAATCACATTTGAGTGATGGAGGATCTATGAGTCTTATTCTTTTAGCCTCCCTGGTCCACATCTGTAAAGGTAGCAGTTTTCACCAAAGCTGTGGTGATTGGACTAGAGTGTTGACAGATATCCAGACTCAGACTCAGAATGAAGCTGGGGTTCAGCCGGGTGCATCCAACCTCAGCAGACTTGTTTGTGGCAAAATAAACTTTGCTACTGCCACAAAGAGCCGGAAATCCGAAATGAGGGAAGGCCTTTTTTTTATTTCATTGGTTTGAAACCACAAGATCCTGCCTTCCTTAAACACCGGGAAAGCTCAGGTTTCATGCTGTGGCCTACAGCTCTTAAAGTTTTTACCAGGAAAAGGAGCTCCAGTGGGTAGGACATTGTGGTTTATGCTATCCCCACACAACCCTTCCTAGAAAACACGGCCTCGGGTCTGCACCTGGGAAAAACCCGTGTGTGAGGGCCTTGATCACACCCAGAATCGTCCTCACTCTTTGCACAGGCTGGAAACTGGGGACTTGTAATAGTATCCACACACAACAGTGGTGTAAAACAATGCCTTGCCTTTCAAAGGACTGTTGTTCAGTTATCTTTCAAATCTGAAACATGACTAAACACGTATTGTTTAAGTAATCTCTAGCATGTTGTTTAGATTAGTTTTAAATTAAACATCTTCCATTTAAAAAACTAAATCTTTGTGTTCTGAGTTTATCAAACCTTCTAATAAATCATACTATTAAAAGCCCATTCATTTCATTTCTAACATAACATAGGAAATGAAATGGGTCTGAAAGTCACTTAGTGTGGATTAAGATAACAGATTTATTAGATCCTCCAGCGGAGCTTTCCTGGGCAGGGCACACTCACATTATGCCAGTTAAAACACTGCTATAAATTTACCAAATGTTGCCTTTTAGTCTTTCTTAGTCTGACTGCTATGTTTTGATTGTTACTGAAAATCAGAGAATCCATACTGATTCCTTCCTTACAGATAAGAAAATAATTAACACATTCATAGAAGTGTTGCTGCAGGATGTGGTCAGCCATTAAGTGTATATAACCAACAGAAGAAAAGTAAAAACAGTGGGCACTTGCTACATATGAGTGTGCTATTACATACAATCCTCAAGAAAGATCATCCTTCACTTAGCTTAGATATATGTACCGAACCAGCATATTCTTGGGCCAAAATGCATTTGCTAAAAATCAAACTGCACTTTTACCAACTAATGTGGCTTCTGTAGCAGTGATAAATGCAGGCAAGTTCTTTTTATTTTACCAGGGTGAGCAAGGATCTCCCGGAATTCCTGGAGTTGATGGAGAACAGGTAATTTTCAAAGATATGTACCATTATTTAAAGCACCATTATTGATCACTACTTTTATTGTAGACTTAAAACCAAAAGTCATGTCTTTTGCTTTATGATGCATCTTTTTTTCCCATCATTTGTTCCACTTGAAATCTAAAAGTGCAATTGGTTTTAAATTATATAAATTTTGTTGGCAGAATGTAAAGCTGTGTGTTACTTTAGTTTTATGTTGATTCCGTGGCCTGTCAATCTACCTCAACAGATTCGAATAGACTCTGAAATCATTACATCAGAACAGCTTTGGGATTTAGTTTTTTGTTTTTAGGGGTTTTTGTTTTAAGGTGAATATAGGCAATTTAATATCAAAATCAATGGCCATCGTTTTCACAGATAGCATTGCTTATCAGCAGTCATTTGACAATGTTTTACCTGTATAAGGATGTCCCCGATTTTGAGCATCTTTTGGAAAACTGGAGAAAATGTGAGGCACTGTGGTTTCACACAGTGTAGCTTTGCACACTATAGCAGTATCTTTCAGTGTCCTCAACACAGAAGCTGCTGGAGTTTATGTAAAATTCCAATAGAAATACTTATGGTTTGGCGGATGCATATCGTCTTTGTCATGAGTCCTTTTCTTTAAACGTGTCTTACTTTCTTAAAACTTCAACATAAACAATCCCTAGGCTGGACTTGGAATGCTGGCTTGTGGCTTGGCATCCCTGCCTTTTAAGAATTTTACTAAGAGAATGCAGACAGCATTAGGAATCAAACCGCAAGGATTAGTTTCAAAATCTTTGAGGTTGTATGGACTTCTATTATTTTCTCAAGAAATGACTCAAGGGATGGAAAGACGTGGCTTGTTGGTTGAAAGCACTTTTGTTCTTGCAGAGGATCTGGGTTTGGTTCCCCACATCCACACCAGGCAGCTCACACCACCTGTCACTCAAGTTCCAGGGTGGCAGATGCCCCCCCAGTCCCCACAGGCACTAGCATACATGTGGTACACATCACCATGTTCAGACCCACACACATAATAAATATGTATGTATGTATGTATAATATGTATATATACAGCTAAATATATTTAAGAAATAGCTTGAATCAATGAATAAGAAGTCAATGGAATTCTTGATATACTAAGTCAACCATATGCTCTTCAGGAGAAAGTATTTGACAAAAACAAATTACTTAACTTTAGGAGGAGAGTTATTTTTAATAACAGTTGGATATTAAAGTCATACAGTGTCACATCAACATTATAAAAAGATAAACTGGTCAATTTTCCATGTCAATCAGATATCTCCATTGTTAGTAATTACAGATAACAAATTAGACTTGTACGGTGACATAATGCATGTGCCTAAATATACAGTATATACAGTAACTGGATTTTTTTCCATAGTCTTTGCAAGGTCCTGTTCTCCCACTAAGCTGATTGGATTAGCCTTATTGCTTTTTCCCTGTCCCAAGATCCCTAAAACCAACTGGTCTTGCTGATTAAACAGCAAGACATATTTATCTTTGCTGATACTTCCCCCTCCCCCATATGTGATTCTGAACTCAGTAGAAAGCTAGTTAACAAACTAATATGTGTTCTTGTCCTTGAGACGAATCCCCTACCATGGTAACCATGAGCATCTGGTCATATTGTCACAAGGTTGCTAGGATGAAAATGCCTAAAAATACTAATTAAGTTCAATGTCAGTGTTCCATAACTCATATTTGTTAGCATTCAAAACCCACACATCTATTTTCTCATTGTGACAGAGTAGTAATTGCATTTGGCTCACCATGTGGAGATGTCATGAGAACCAAACAGGAACAAGCTGGGTGTTTTAAAGCAGTGATGGCACATTGGTGCTGGAAACTGATGACAGCTAGAACTTACACATACAATAAAGAGGAGGGAATGACTGTGTGGAAATGGGAACCTTTACTTGGATCTTTGCTAGTATAACACTAAGGCCTGGTTCAAATATTTTCTGTGCTGTTAAGAATTACGGTCATTACATTGTCTTCTGGACTGGTAGGATACAATAAGTTGCCAAGCAAATTTATGAAACCAGGAGAAATCATGCCAAAACCTGAGTTCATGTTTTTCATATTTAAATGGTCTATAGAACTTAATCCTATTACATGGGGAAATATTACTGATCCGATGTAGAAGGCTGTAAAAAGAAAATACCTGGAAACGAAAGTTATAGTCATCTCCGTTTGCACCCACCTCTTGGCAGATTTATCTGGAATCCCATTGGCTCCAGGATGTGCCTATCAGGTTGTCACTGCTCTTCTCACATGCAAACTCTATCACTTGTAGGGACTCAAAGGCTCAAAGGGTGATGTAGGGGACCCAGGTATGCCAGGTGAAAAAGGAGGAATTGGACTCCCTGGATTGCCGGTATGTTCACGCTCTATGATGTGCTCTTACCAAAATAAATGGCTCAGAAAGAATTATACTCTCAACTGTACTTTCAGCCAGTGATTTACAAACTTTTTAATCTTTGAAATAACTTGTATTGTTCCAAAGGGGACACTACAATTTTAAAGTATAGCCACATCAATTAAAAGGCAAATGTTTGTTTTCTTTTTATTTTCTTTAGAAGATAATAAAGCAAATAAAGTTGGCCATTTGAATTTAATACGTATAGTCAAGTAATTGTCATGAAGTGAGCCACAATGAAGAAATAAACAAGCATAAAACTTTATTACCATTAAAGACAGATTAGTCTGTGTGTCTATACTTTGGGGTTATGCTTATTCCCCTTGACTTAGAAATTATAGAAATTATAAGAAAACAAAGCAGAGGAACTTCCCTTCTACTCTCTTCCACCCTACAGCTGGTACTGGGGAGAACCTAGGTTCTCCCACATGCCATGCAAGCACTCTACCACTGAACTGTATCTCAAATCCTTTTGTTTTAACTTTCTATGTTAAAAAGTTATGTAGGCTCGCTTGAACACACTCTGAAACATATGTTAGCCTTGAATGTTTGATCTTTCTGCCTCAGTTTCCCAAGTAGTCAAGATCTCAGGCCTGTGCCACTGGGCGTGGATCTTCTACCTGTTTTTTAAAAAGAAACTATAAGTAAATGTCAGTGGAACCAAAGTCTCACCTTTGCTATTTAAAGTGAGCACACCATAAAGAATAACATTTATAATCCAGTATATTTAGCACTGTGAAGTCAGGATCAGCCTAGTTTCTATTTACTTTGTATTTTGCTTTGTGTATCACCCATAATCCTAGGGATTTTACCACTTTGGACTAAAGTGCATGGGGATAAAATTGCTTATGTGTTATGTGCATAATATAAAAATTCAAGGCAGTCAAAGTTCAGTTGTCCGGTAGACCTTGGAAATAACTTTCCTGCTAACTCTGCTTCCTGGTTATTTGTAGGGTGCCAATGGAGTGAAAGGGGAAAAAGGAGACTCTGGGTTGCCGGGTCCTCAGGGTCCTTCTGTAAGTCCATGGGGCTGACCTTTCACACTACATTAGTATTTACCCAGATCCCCCTGTGCCAAATGGCTAACCGCTAATAGAAATACAGCCACTTACTTGGTGGATTCAATGGTACATGATACATGTTGGTCTTGTGCAGTGAGAGACAGTGTATCTCAGAAGTTTGAGTTAGAAGCAATTTTTTTTTTTCAGAGCTCTGGGGAGAAAAAAAAATCAATGGATTTCCCATAATGCTCATATGGAAAGCCTATGAAATAAGAACTTGCATTCCCTTTTTCCCCAGAGTCCTATTTGTGCTTAGTGAAATAACTGAGGGTTTAATAGTGGTTGCTGCATTATAGAATTTCTCGATAATCAGTTGCTTCCTTTTCTTTTAATATAGTTTTGACTTACTCTGGGATTTTGTAGAACAACTGTAGTGTTTGAAGTTATCTGATTCTCATACAGGAATTTCTAAAGCCAGAGAATCAGGCACAACACTTCTCACCATGTCCCTTCTCCTCTGTGACTATTGATGGCATTAGCAGAGCCCTAGAACAAGACCCATGCTGTACTGCCTTATCTAAATGAAGTAACCACATCCATGTTTATTTTTTGCACATACAGATCATAGGCCCACCAGGCCCTCCGGGTCCCCATGGCCCACCTGGCCCCATGGTAAGTTCTCTTCTCCCTGAAACGTAATCAATTATCTATGCGTGTGCTACTGGAGATGAACACAGCCAGCTTTTGTTTTGTACTGCTCCCTGGGGAATGAACAGAAAAGGTGAAGTGCTTTGACTAGTTTACAGCACTATCTTTAATTCCCCCTAAACACACGTGCTAGAAAGACATAGAGCCAAGGAGAGATGGATCTGGCAAGCTTAACTCCAAGGCTGCATGAACACTGACTGGCAAGCCATCTTATCAGGTCACTGCTGTGGGCTGTTAATAGCAAGTTAAAGTAATAATTGAGGCAGTGAAGAGGGTTTCTAAGCAGCTTTCAAGCCTGAGACCCTTCCCTGAACTATCCAGTTAGAACATTTGTAAAACAGTGTGATAAAGACGGAAGCTGGCTTCCACAGATGATAGAGAGTGTTGGATCTTTCTCCTTCGTGTTAATGGCTCTTCTGGTGATTCATGGAGCCAAGCCGTATTTGCTGCAGTTGTCTCCCAGTGAGCAATGCACACAGCATTCCTGACCCAGTGGGAAAGGCAGCTCTGAAGCAAGTGTGATTCTCTAGATGCTGGAGGACCAACAGTTGTGCCTAGGCTAGAATGTGAACGGCAGAGCAGAAAGGAACAAGGCGGACTCTAAGGTTACACTCATCTCCCGGGTGTCTTCATAAAGCGGAAGACATCAATAATGGAGGTGAAGGCAAGTGTGGCAACTCTCTGCACTCTAGAGAGAGCAGCATGGGTCTGATCCCAGCCACAGACTAGCTTGCGCACCCAGGTCTCACTAATTGCCTCCTTTCTTTGGTAAACAACTTTCATTAACATTGTTCTCTTAACACCAAATAGTTGAATAAGAATTAATCAAATGGTGTGGTTTTTTGGCTTTTTATACTCTTTCCACTTTGAGTTAAAAGGTTAAATTAGAAAATGCTACATCCTGCTCAAATGATAAAGTTAATTAGCTTAAAGGAATTTTAAACCATTATTAACATGAGATAAGAATATTCAATAATGAGAGCCATTTCCTGAAAATGTTTATCTGCAACTTATCAAAAGGGAAAGCATTACTCTACTGTAGACATATATAACAAATAGCTCAGCATACGTGGTCAGCTATTTCTCCCTCTGTTTTATTTCACTGGTATATATTATTTAAATATGTATCTCCCTGAATAGCTTATTAGAATCTCTTTAAAAGTTCAAAGCAATCCACAACAACCTTCAGTTAATTTAAATTGATAATTAGTTTCTATATTTGTATTTTCTGCCAAACAACTTTCTTTTTATCCTGATTCATGCATTCATTATGACCTCCTTTCTTTGATAAACAACTATTAGAAGAGCCTTAAAGGATTCATTTCTATAACAATAAATGCAATCCAAATCATAGGGCTTACCCTCTTTGAGCTTAAGCTGGAAGAATAATAACTTTCCAGAGTCCCAAGTTGGCTGCCATCTTCCTGCTGCCTTTAGATTCTTCCACCCCTTCATAATGAAGACTTAAGAATAAAGACCTCCTCTTCCTTGCTACTCAAACTGTGGAGATATTTTTTTTCTTGAATTTCTGGCTTTTACATTCTACCTTGATTTTACAAAAGTTTATGAATTATCTCAAATATTCCACCAGGTTATAAAATGGAAATTTGAGAAGTACCTGTAGTGTAAATACAAGACAGGGGTTCTCTTTTTGCCTAATTTTTCTTCCATGAAACCCCCAGAAGCTTTCTCCCTCTTGTAGGCAGTTAGCAGACAGAATTGCTCTTAATGAATTTCCTATTACAAAGCAGTCCAAGAGCTAGAAGGAACATTTGGTAGGTAATAAATAACATCCCGCTGACCTGCCTCTGGCTATAGCTCGAACAAGACCATCCTTGTTTTACATCTCACTTTATACTTGATAGAATACTCATTTCTACAAGGAAGCGGCGAGTCCGCTTTTAATTAAATCTGTGCTTTCCATTTTTAGGGACCCCATGGACTTCCTGGACCAAAGGTACCAGCAAATCCCTTGATTATTTGATTTCTGTTTCCTTGACGGTCATGGGCAAGCATGACGGAAGCATGTCTGTCCTCTGTCTTATTTATTTGTCAAGTAATGTTGATAGTGTTTAAGCCTTTAAGCATCCAGATGTTTAACTCTCACAATACAACATGACTCACAATGAGTTTAAGTGCTATCACCTGGAAACAAATCATTCCTCCTTTTGCTTTTGCCCTTGTCACTATATATGTTTTAAAGCCCGTGGTATATTAAAATCTGTCATTTAAGGGTCATCTGATGACATGTGCAGACTAAGCCAGGAGCTTTCTGTTTTTATGGTGACAATAGCTCTATATCTGCTGCCAGCTGAAGGTCTTGCTTGCTGCATACTACTGAGGCATCTGCCTGCTTCGGCTATCTAGCAACTCAGTGTTTTACTTCCCATGGGTCATAATCTAGAATAGGATGGAGTGTATCCACTGTGATGTCACAGAATTTATGTGAGTATAAAGAGGCGCAATGGAGAATAGGTCCTCATTGATAGAACGAGTGCAGCTTACACTGGAAAGATGATGATCTCTGCCTGTTCTTTGCTTTTACAGAAACCAGAGGGCATCTTGAAATGTAGTGTTACCACTAGGCACCTGAAAGCTCGGAGCTTGGGGGGGGGTCGACAAGGCCCCCCCTTTGGCTTTCCCAGCTGTAAAGGGTTGCCAACAATACTGGCTTGACACAAGAATCCTTGGCTTTCTTTTCAGGGGCAGGCAGATAACACAAGAAGGGAAGAATGATAGACATCTCATTCTTAGAATGCCTTACCTTCAGGTTAAGCCAGTGGGTAGTGTATCAGTAACTATATTGACTAAGAGTAAAGCACCAAGACTGTTTTCATTCTGTGGTGACTGAGACAAGAGAGACACATCATAACCATTCAATTAGACGAGGCCCAAATCCTTTGGATACAGAAAATGATATAGATATTTTTTCCACAAGAGTTGATATTTCCATCATTGATTTCAACAAATTATAAAATTGAAAGTCTCCGAAGACTTGTGTTGGTTCCTTGACTTTAAACTGCACTAGGTCTATGTAGTTTATCAGTCACACTGATTTAATGCAAAATTACAGGAATAGATGATGACCAGGTTGGTAATAGAATCTGGTACAGATTTGAAATTTGTCCTTTTTGCTACTGGGTTTGACTGCTTTTAAATTGAACTTTCAAACATCTACTCTTATCAGTAAGTGATTTCCCCACCAAAGAATTTCAAGGCCTGCTAAATCTGCCCTGCCTATCATCGTCCTAAAGCCACACACTAGAAATGCGCTCATGCGCAAAGCCGTGAATCTCAAGTTTAGAAAGGTGACCCCTGAGCCTTGGCTGCCAGTGCATTGTTGACTATGGCGCTGTGGCTGCAGGATTATACCTGATCAACTATAGCATATTTCAGTTTTCAACCGTGGCTACACTACAGACTCATATCTTCAAAATCTGCAAGTCTACTATGCTGTGACAGTGTATGAGCCGTCTGAAAGTTCAAATATGTAGCATAGTCTCATGGGTGTATGCACCACAGTATTTCCCATGAGCTTCTGGTGAGCATTCCCATCTAGGCAGCCATTAATTATGCCCATTCCTACACCCGTTGTGTGCTTAATGAGCAGCACACCAGTTTTCACCATCAGGCAGATTGAATAGTAGTCCACAGGTTAAAAGTCCCTTCAGCCAATGTGAGCATGACCTCCATACAGTGAGGCCACCTTCCTTTCACAAGTCCTTCCATGTTTTCTTGCAAATGAAGGTCGGTAGTTAAAAGCTGGAAAGTGTATGTGTCCAAAGTTTCTGTCTCTAACACACTATTACTGATGGGCAATCAGCATACTATATCCCTGGGTTTTTCCTAAACTGAGTCAAGAGGATTTACCATGCATCAGAGCTCTTGTAATGTCATCCCATGTTAAACTGCACTTCCTTCATTCTAACATGGTGCAGACAGTTAGGGAAACTATCAAGTTCTCTGATCTTCATATTGTCTTCTGGGACCGTCAATTTGTGGTTAGCTGTATTGATTGATCCATCCAGGAACCTGATTTGGCAATGTCAGTAAATGAGGACTTGCAGAATGGCAACACTTCAAACATCAGTGTCTCCATTTTCAATCCATTCTCCTGGGCAAAATGCTTAAAGGCTTAAAATGTCTGTCTATAACACTGTCCTGCATATTCCAGTTTCCAGTTCCAGCAGAGTGGAGTTTTCCTACTGATCCCTTCAACATCCTCCACTTGGATTGACTCTGATTTGCTTAGTCAAAACAATGTTAACACTAAATTCCTTGAGGTCGAACTCTAAAATCCATGAAGTCAGCTATAGATCATTTGTTGATACTCAATACATCTTTTTTTCTTGAGTTCCGTGCTTCCTAGAATATTGTCATCTCTGGCTTATTAAGTGATGTGCAACCAATCTAGCCTCACTCTGCTGTTACCTAAAACTGGAATCTGCAAGGGTTTCGGAGACTGGGTCTCTTCTCTCACAGTTTAAACACCCATGATAGCAACCAAAATTGGCATTTGCTTTTGCATTTAGGGTGAACCAGGGTTAAATGGTGTTAAAGGATTGAAGGGTGAACCAGGTCAAAAGGGTGACAGAGGACCCCTTGGTCTTCCAGTAAGTAAAGAAAACTTTCCATTTGGGGGCAAATCTCAGATTTTTCTTTCTACCCTAAGTAACAATGCTGGTTTGCTCAGTGGCTATCTTACAGTTGAGAGTCCTGTCATTAGAATGTTCACACAGTGTGTCAGAGCAGAGTACAGCCCAGTTTTGTTTCCCCGATGTCTTGATCCTGTGTCTCAGGGTGACCCCATAACAAACAATACTGCAAATGTTCTGTCCCTCGTCAATTACATACATGCCAACCATGCTCTTTATGCTTTCATAGTCTGATCCAGGTTAAGGCCCTCACTCAGTTGTTTTTATCTTCTTGGGGTCTATAAAAGCAGTAGCTCTCTGCTGGTGGCAGGTATGCAATTGGCCATTGTTGAGGTCAGCGCCCTGGCTCCTTACATTAATCGACCACATTGTGTTCTATGTTTTGTGTTGTCCGTTTTGGAGATTCCATGCTATGAGACTCGCGGGACAATAGTGGATAGTATGGGAGAAATATTCTGCAGTTGTAAAAATGTTCATTCATAATAAAGGGGGGTTCCTCGCATTCATATTTTTATGCCAATATTCTTCCCTCAACGACTTGAAAGACTTTAAAATTATTATTGAGTGTAATGGCTTAATTTTGGGCTTTTAACACAATGTTTGTTTGGCAAATGAAGGTAGCACATAGTAAATAATATTGTAGGTTACATTTGTAAAGCATCGCATAAAACCAGTAACAGAAAATATTTATGTATTTGAGATGTGAGATAAAAAAATATTGGTGGTCATCCCCTATCTCATTTTTTCCATGGGTACTGTGCATTCAGTACTGACATCTACTCAAAATCCCATGGCTTGTATATCAGAGGCACCAGCTATTTTGTGTACATTTACTGCTTGAGTAAATTGTGTAAGTTTTATGTTATATTTTGTAGTTAAATCGGTCCCCATTGGATCAAAGACACAAGACATTTGTAAGCCATTAGTTCTGCACCCAAGTTAGATACAGAATCTTATGATCAATGTAAATATTATTTTAACATTTATCTTTAAATGTTATAATAATTACTGAAAAAACATCAAAAGGGCTTATTATTAAACAAACAATGGCAATACCTACTGTTCATAATCAATGCTACCAAAAAGCTCTGTTTTGTACTGACCATTACAGGATCAGAATGAAGGAATTTTAAATTAAAAAAAAAATCCCAAATGTGTATGTGTTGGCATTGTTGGAAGCTGGAATCAGATTTTTTTGTTTGTTTGTTTGTTTTTTTATTAACTGCAACTGAAGCTCAGAGAGATTTCTCCAGCCTGACCAAGAGAATAGAAAGCACTAACACAGTGTCTTCTTAAATATTGCATGATGTGGTCTGGATCTTTGAAGTAACAAGTATTGGGGGTTATTATATAAGAGCCTAGTTAATCTGGCAACAGACACAGAAAGGGCCATTTTATCAACCCCCCCCCCCACCATGGGTAGCCCTCAATCCAAAAGAAACATGTGTATTAATCTGAGAAATGAAGGCTTTTAAGCCACTTCTCATGCAAAATTCAATGTAAAAGATGATTTGAACTACACTTAGTGACAAACTGGGACTTATTTTAACTTGAGCCCTCATTTTTTTTCCCTTGTTCCTAGAAGTCCCTCTAGTGGCAACTAATGTGAATTTTAAGTCATCACATAAATAGCATCCATATAAAAAATCAAGCCATCCCAATATATTTAAAGTTCAGCATTTTCATTCATAAAACAATTTTGGCAAGTGTAGCCAGAGTTCTAGAGGCTCTTTTTGGGGATATGCCCATTACTTGCTCTTCAGAACTTAAAGAAATCGATCATGAATACTAGTCTTTAGGAAATAAACATATAGCTAGGAGTCCCCTTTTCTACGTATTGTCGGCAGGAATTTTGTAGCCCACTATGTAAACCTCATTCACCAGATTTCTAGATAAGAACTTCCTGGTAGAAATGTCACTAAAATGCCATCATCTGTGGGGCATGTACTGTCACGTGACCTCTTTAAACTAACAGTCTGTAGCAATGTGACATTCATCCCAGAATCGTGTGTATTATGTTGCTTGAAGTGTTGCATTTGGTTCATCGGTGCCTCATACTAATCTCTGTTCTTGTCATTCGTGTTGCACCCACCAACCCTGACACCAACCTAATCACACAGGGAGCATCTGGCTTAGACGGAAAGCCAGGATCCCGGGTGAGTCGGCCCTGCGTCCTGCTCCAACGTGCTTCATGGATATGAATTGTGTGCTCTGGGAAAGACCCCTATGTTCCCTGTGGTCTTCCCAGACAATGAGGGGGTCGCCTAGGGCAAGAATCAAAGGGGAAGGTGGAGAAAGATGGTAGAAAGGGAGGAAGAGAATGGGTGGCAACTGGCAAGTATAGGCTGAGCTGCCAGAGTGTCTTCAGAAGTTCAAGTCTGGATAGTTTACTAAGAGACAAGAATGTCAGGCCCAGCTGCCTTTAGTGTCTCAGCAACCTGAAACGATTCATAAAGCCTTCCCTGAATAACCCCATGGGAAACCCCTGAAGTAGTGAAAACGAGGAATTTATTTTTACTTGCTTTTCCTTTACATTTATGTCCACCTTGGACATGTAATTTCTTCCTTACAAGTAACCCCCAAGTCTCTGTTCATGAAGTGAATCAGTGTCTCCATCATTTTTATCACTTTTTGTTTTGTTTTTGGAAGCTCGACATTGACATTTTAGCCATAGTCACTCAGAATTTAGAAGAGTGTGATTAGGGTGATGAGAATTCACCAACATGAGAAAGAATTTGAACCTGAAGTCTTTCCTATCCAGACATCCCAATGGAATCCATAAATCTGCAAGAACAACAATGGGAATGTGCTAGACAGGTTGAGATGCAGTGCAGTAATCCTTATAAGCACAAATACAACGTTGCACCCTTTACCACTGTAAGCACAGCCTTCCTGACAATAGAGAAGATCATATTTGAAATCCTTATGACATTTTTAAGAATCAAAAATTTCAGTTCTAAAAACTTCCAGACCTCAGAGTTCTTACATTCTTTCAGATGTTATCTTTTCTGCCACAGAAACCAATTATGTCAGTCAAGTCACTCGACCTGCCTGGTGAGCAAGCTGTGGGCAAACCGAAAAGGAACCCCTCCTCCTCCTCCTCAGCCCCTACATCCCAATAGAGCTGCAGAAGGCTGTCTTGAAAGTTAAATACTATTTTTATTCATATGCTTCCCACTTCAGTTGCTAAAAACAGAGTTTGGAGGCTTTGGCCATGGGTGTCAGTGGCTGTGGCCAAAAGACTTGGGGCAAAGATATAGAGGAGGCACAGTTATACTTCCCTGGTTAAGACGATGGAGGCATGGGACTAAAGAGATGGCTCAGCAGTTGAGAGCACTAGCTTCTCTTTCAGAGGACCCAGATTAAGTTCCCAGAACTCCATGGAGGCTCACCAGCAGCTCTAACTATTCTACTTCCAGGGACCTGGCGCCCTCTTCTGGCCTCCATGGACACTGCACACACACAATGTCCATACATGCATGCAAACTCACACATACACATAAAATAAAAATCTGGAAAAAAAAAAGTGATGAGAGTGAAATGAAGATGCTTCATCAGAAAAGAATAAACAGCTATGAAATATGGCTTTGTCTATACCCTTCGTTGAAGCATGCAGTTAGATACGTCCTCTCTGTTGCATGAATTTTTCAAAAGTAACCGGCATGAAAAAACCAAGAATAAAGTGCTTCAAAATCAGATAAGCTATCCTAAGACATCATTCTACAAGCCGAGTCAGAGTAAATCAGAGCTCCTCTTCTCACAGTCCTCGTCTCTCACTTGTCTGATAGTATTTTATTTTCTCTCTCTTTAGGGTGCAGACGGTCCTATGGGACCCCACGGCCCTGCAGGTCCCAAAGGAGAAAGAGTAAGTCTCCCTTTGGGTTGTCATACTTAAGCTGAGCACTGAAGGAAACAAAGCATGGCTCCAAGGAGATCTCAAAGTGTTCATCATCCAGGAAAGATGGGGAGCTATCTAGTATTAAATGAAAATGTTGCCCATTTGAAGTCCTATTCAGATTCCTAAGACTAAGACAAAAAAAAAAAAAAAACCACAGTGTAAGATGGACTCAGCCTGCCTTAATGAAAACAATGCATACATTTACATAGCTAAAATAAATAGCTCCCATTATTCCTTCTTTAACCCATAAGGAAGATATTTTCATTGGGCCTTCATCCAGAAAGTTGAAGTCAATGGGGCTAAAATTTCCCAAACTACATATCCTGGTTGATAATCTTAATACAAAGCTACTGTGTTCATTCCGAGTAAATTATAATGTTTTTCCAAAGGAAATTACAGAACCTAATATTCTTCTCCACACGGTTACCCATGCTCTCATTTTTCTTTTGTGAGTTAAAGAATGGCCTGTTTTTCTGTAGCCATAAGGAAATGATTTCAGTGCATTATAAGACAAAACCCCTTCACTAGCCTCACTGTAGTGGTCTATGCTTCCACATCCATGGGAGGAAAAAAAAAAAGATAGACATTGGGAGAAGATGAATATCTGACACACAAAAATGTATTGCAGCCTTGGCAGCTGCTCACGTGTCTGGAATCTCTTCCCCTATATTTTTCGCCCACTTTTTCTTTTCTTCACCTTGGAAAACTCCAAACGCGCGTGCGTGTGTGTATGTGTGTGTAGAATTGTGTCATCGATTTTCCTAACACACACTGTATGAGATGAGGAAAGTACGTTGAACGTGAGTTTTTTATGATGTTGGCATCACTGTTCACCATGCAAGTTTGTGGTCTTTTTAAAATAAGAGTTTTCATCAGTCTGGGCTAATTTGATTTTTAAAGAGAGACCAGGTAGTAATGTCTCTGACATACCTTCTAATTCCCCGGTTCTGTGTTCTTTAAAGTAAATTCGTGCATGTAGTAAATTATTGTCAGATGCAACTGTGTACATTGCAACCCTTTGGGGGGTGAAAGAAACACTCCTACAAAAAAAGAAAAAAAAACTTAACTAGCAACTCAACTGCTCTACTATATTAGATAATGCCCTTATAATGGAGTCATCATCATCATCATCACATACTCTGTTATTAATGATCACAATAATATACATGCTACATAAATAATGCTGCAGAGGAAGCACCTGCTTTCTTTTTCTTATATTACAAAGATTCTTTTCTCACATAATATGCCCGGATTATGGTGTCTGCTCCCGGTACTCCACCCTCCCTCATTAGAAAGGATAGGCTTCTAAGAGGTGATATTAAAATATAACAAAAGAAACAATAAGATAAAACGAAAGCCATCACATCAAGGTTGGACAAGCAAACCAGCAGAAAGGGAAAGGGCCCAAGAGAAGGCACAAGACTCAGGGACACATTCGTTTGCATGCTCAAGTATCCCATAGAAGCACCGCAGGGGACACCATAATACAGCTATGCGAAACACCGCAGGGGACACCATAATACAGCTATGCAGAAGCACCACAGGGGACACCATAATACAGCTATGCAGAAGACCTTGCAAGCCCTGTGCACGGTACTTCAGTCTCTGAGAGTCCGTATGAGCTTTGCTCGTGTTGGTTTAGAGGGCCTTGTTTTCTTAGTTTCCTCCATCCCCTCTGATTCCTAGACTCTCTCTGCCTTCTCTTCCATGGGTTCCCTGAGCTCTGAGGGAAGGAGTTTAATGGAGACACCCCCTTTAGGACTGAGTAAGAAAGCATCCATCTTCATGAATCTAGAGGAGTTTATATTGCAAAGAAGAAATTATGCAAAAAAAAAAGATAGCCAGATAATAAAGCCAAAGTCAATACAGATATATATATATATATATATATATATATATATATATATATATATATATCTCCCAGCAAAGACAGGCCTTATCCAAGAAGAGTCCCCAAAGGAGATGAGCCCTTAAGAATATATTATTGTTATTTCTAAGATCAAGCCAACAACTTCTGATAATCAACTTCATTAAAAATACTTCAAAGCTAAGAGCATCCTGCTAACAGTGAAGATTCGTTTCCCAGCACTGGATGAAGAAACTCAGCCCATCCTAAAATTGGAGCAGCAAAACTCAGGCGGTCTGTTAGCAAAGTGCCCTGGGGCTCAAGAGGGTTTGGGATTTGGTAAATCAGCTGCTACTTCCGATGGCTCAACAGTATCTCAAGGGTATCAGGTCTCAGTGCTGGTGCAGAATTAGCCAGAAGAGCAAATGAAGTCTCCAAGAATTTTTGAAGGCGTAGCTGAAGCCAGGTGCATGCAGTGTGAAGTGCTGTACTTGTGTGTCCTCAAACTGGATCATGTGTCAGTCAGTATGCTGCAAGTGCCGGCTGCCCAGAGTGCCCGGGGCCCAGAGTGCCTGCAGCCCGGAGTCTGACGCTCACAGTTAATGGAGGTGCCATCTGGAGGCTCCTGCAGATGTTTCTGGTTTTAAAGCAGAAAGGATGGGCAAGGCAGGCATTCTAGAACAAGTCCTTGGTACTGACACGCAAATGAAAGAGCCTGGATGAAATTCAGCCAGCCTAAAGGAAATGAACCATTTCGCATGCAAGTTTTCCCAGTACATGACTGACACGCTAGTATGCAGCCCCCCATGCTCCCTGCCTTCCACCGAGTTCTTCATTTCGGTAAAGACAGGGCACTTAAGTTGTTCTATCGAACAAATCACTTTTCTCCTCCCAGCCACTTTCTCTTTGGGTCTGCCCGCCAGAGGTGAGAGCATGCTAGTGGTTTCGTTTTGAATACCGATTTCTTCCTCTGGCCTTAGACTCTGTACAGTTAGAAAGTTGAGAGTGTCAAAGGTTCTTTATTCTGGGGGGGGGGGGAGAACACCACTACATGTTCAAATCCATGAATTAAAATGTCATTTCTGAGGGTATCCAAGATGCAACCACTGGGGTTGGTGCTTTGGGGCTAAAGAGAAGATCCAAATTCCATGTGGCTTGAACAAGAAAGAAATGTTCCTTTCATATAACCAAAAAGCCAAAGGGGGAGTCTAGGCTTTGCTCCGACCCAGGCAAAATCCTAGCTGCCAGTCCAGGGGCCACTCAGGGAGGCTTATGCTAAGGACAGGGTTTCCCCCAAAGGAAGAAAATCTCAGTGGATACCACCTTCCAAGGAGCTTCCAGCTGGGCGTCCCCAGTTCTGACTCATGGGTCCACTTCTCGTGGTGCTCAGGTATGAGCAGCAGACTAGTCTAGAAGAGGAATCCTGCAGACAAATGTTGCAGTAATCACTTACCCCATGTAGCTAAGCCACAGTGTGTTCCTTTTAAAAACAAAGCAAGCCAAGGTTGTCGGGGGAGAGGTAGGAAGTTCTATGGCGATATTTAGATTAGATGAAGTCTACTGTTACAATAGCTTGCTTCTGTAACCTGCCTCTAAACCCCACTCCCAACATACCAATAACTGGTACGCATGTGCAGATACACACACACACACACACACACACACACACACACACACACACCACTTTAAAACTCATAACACTGCCAAACGTATCTGAAAGAAATTGATTTTAAATTAGCATAGTTTAAAGCCCTTTCCATTAAAAAAGTGACTTCTAATTGTATAGTTAGCACTTGTGACATCAATTATTTAACACTGTATAATGCCATGTATTACTATCACATTTAATATTCAGGATAATTTTCATAGAATATTCATCACCATTTTCTCTTAGTGATATAACCCAAGCACAGAAGGACTGAGGAAATTCCTGAAGTTCTATGGGCCTTACCACCAGAAAGATCCAGAAGTATAATTCAAATTTAAATCTAATTTACTGACAGCCTGGCCACTGCCCTGAGAACCATTGCTGTTTCATAATTAGCAAAGCGATGAGAAAAGCTCGGATTCTTAAGGATACCCGTCTCTGGTGATCTCGCTGTATTCTGTGTGTCTCTTTGCTGACTTCACCAACCCCCTAAATTTCAAAGAAAAAAAAATGCTAGTAATGCCTGATATCTGTTCACGTGGAAACCTTGAGAACAGAGAAGGAAAAACCTATCCCATGCCTCTGCAGATAGAGTTCACAGGGAAACCTGGCTTTCCATCCAGGCACAGTAAAAGAGAAAGAGAATTTTCTATGGAGTACTCGTGGAAATATCTCCATTGCCCCTGACATGTTCATGCTACATCACACATACCTTAGTCTGGAGGGAGAATCCCAAAAACACTCCAAAAGGAAACATGTATCTGTACTGTGTTAATTATTTCTATTCATGGACCTACCTCTGGTAACTCTGATTCTTCACAAGCATCCTGGATTATCATTTATGCTAACCCTATTAAATGAATGCTTAGAGCACATTAAGATATGTGTCTACCCACCAAGCGCTCGCTGAGGGCAGACAGATTTTTTACTGTTCCTTTTCAAAAAGAAAACAAGATGTGTAGAACAACGCCTGACACAATGTGATTAATATATTCACTAATATTTACTAATACGCCGAGCACGGTTCTAAAACACGACTGGTAGAAGCAAAGCCAGGGCCCTGGAGCCCAGTGTGCCCATTCTAGTGACAGACAGATGGAAGATAATGGTAACAACATCTGTGTGTGTTTCACAGTGCACGGAGCGGAAGTGAAATACGGCTGTGGAAACGGAGTGTGGCCGAGGAAGGGCTTCTCTGAAGAGAGATGATTTTTAAGAAATATTTCTTTAATACAAAAGAAAGCAATGCAGCCCAAATATCCCTTAAGCCAAAAATTCAAATTGTGAATCCCTCTAAAATCCAAAAACCTCTGGGCACAGCACTGCAGATGGGAATTTCAGTGCTGGCTTCATGTGACGCATTGCAGTAGAAACACAAGCACAATAAAGATACTGTATGAAACGAACTTGCAGGGTACGTGTGCAGGATGCATGTCTAAAACAAATGTGTTTTGTAGTTTGTGTTGTGCCTCATCCCCGAAATATCAAATCCAGAGTCAGCTCAGCTCCTGAGCATTTCCAGTCAGGGACGAGAACCTACAGCTTAAGACAAACAGCAATGTTTTGCACAGATGCTAGAGGAACCCACGTAGAGCTTTCTACATGGAGGAATTCTTTAACATACCTGAGCAGTGGCAGCTTCTTCCTGTCCTGTCAATGGTCAGCTAGTGAAATCTGCCATGGTGGATGACTGTCACTCCAATCTTAAAGGAATATCAATCATTGGCATTGCTTTCTGTATGAGCCATGTGGGGATGCAAGGGTCTGTGTGTGATTGGAACTTTCTGCTTTTTCATTTTAGGGAGAGAAAGGAGCTGTGGGAGAGCCTGGACCCAGAGGGCCCTATGGGCTGCCTGTGAGTTCACTGTCACGTGACCGCCACCATCAGCATGCCTGTGACCTGCCACTGACATGTTTAACCCTTCCCTAGGGGGCAGACTAATCTTGTTATAGTAGCAAAGGCAATCCACTGAGTAGTCACAGCACAGAGAATTCTGTAGTACATACTCTGTCTTAAATGGTCCCTGTACGTAGAGACATACCCAAGCATGTCATGAGATTGAAGATCAGAGCACTATCTGGAAAACAAGGTTCTGCCTGTCAGAACACATCCTTCCCATGCCATCTGAGTGGACATCCCTCGAAGGGTCACTCATACCAATTGTATGTGAACATTTCATTTGGAACAACCTTCATTCCTTGTCTATTCTCATAGATTATTAGGAAAAAAATTTCTCTTGCAAGTGAAAATTATGACCCAAATTGAATTCATGATGACAGTGCTTCTTACCTGTCTGAATTCCTGACAGGACAGATGATTGCCAGAACAGGATGTTGGCAGTGTTCTGTCTTCTAAAATTCTGAACTATGCAGAAAAAACCTGTGAGGCCACAGGTTTGCACAGACATGGTTCCAGCCAGTTGTGTAGAATAGGACTCAAAGTAGCATGTGTTGCATTTAGGTTTTTAACCTGCCAGTGCTTTCCACGGGCTTTTTATGAACTCAGATAGCAAACTTCATTCACAATCATTTCAGTGCTTAAAGAGATGCACACTACAAAGCTCACTGTTAAGCAGCTTTTGAAGTTGGGATGTTCACACTTCTTATATTCAGGATGATTGCCTAGCCAAATTCAAATGATATTTAATGATAAACAGGTTTTAAGTTCTCCGTTAATTGAACAGCTAATTGAGTTGTCAAACGAAAGGAGTATGGTCTACATCTTTTGTTAGTGCTGATGTGTTTTAACTCAACTAAACGTTTTGTTTTGCACTTCCTTACTGGAATGCTAAGTCTGAGAGCAAGCACAGAATTTGAGCAACCTTATCTATTTAACCCAGTAAAGAATTTAAACCCCTCACACCTCATAACTTCAACTAATAGTCCCCTCGCTTGATTTAAAGGAATCTGACTAATCAAGAAGCCTTTTTCACATTTCTAGCATAGTCTTCTTAATACTAATGTTGCATGCCCAGAGCAGCCTCAAACAAGAACCTATTGGTGAAACTTAGGAACACTAATGTAGCTACTATGGTTCTTTGGCAGGGCAAGGATGGAGAGCCTGGTCTTGATGTAAGTAATCTGCACAGCAAACATCCTTTTATTATAATCGACACAGTCAATGGTCTCCATTGTCAGGGAACACCAAGAATACAGAATATTCTGTCTGTGAATGTATTATACACACACCCATACATCATGTATACATACATGTACACATATGTACACATACTGTGTACATAGACAACATAAAATACAGAGGAATAATATAAAATTAGTAACTGACACTGAATAATGGTACTTCAAAATCCTTTCCTAAATTAAGAATACTCAGCATCAGCATGACCCAGTTTTAGAAAAAAATAACTGTGTACCCAATCAGTCTGCCTCTCATGTGCTGCCCTTGGGGAATGGTGCTTTGTCAAAGCAGTGGTGGTGGTGGTGTTTTTCTATTAAGTTTCTATGTCCATTTTCTCATGCTAAAATATTGTATTTTATGTAATATATATACACCTTTTTATATTATATAAATAGACTGTCACAGTTTGTTGGTAATTTGTGAGTAATGAAGTTATGATAGCAGCTGTTTATTGAGCACCTGCTATGTGCAGGCATCATTCTGGCACTTTGCCTCTACCATCTCATTTAAGATCTACAACAGCTGTGTGATGATAGTCATTAACCTTATTTTATAGTCAAGGACTAAAGGATGGAGGTAAGTGATTTACCCAAACCCACACAAGTTAATAAATGTGCCAGGATTCAAATTAATATTTTTGTGTTCCTTCTCCTGCATTTTCTAGAAGAAAAAAAAAAGGCAGGAAACCTATTATACGCAGCTCATTGAAATGGTAGAGAGTACTGTTTCTAAGTGGTACTGCTCTTTGTAAGTTTAAAGGTTGACATGTCCATTTTTATATGAGTTCAGATCAATGAACTGTGGTGGTGTTTGTTGTTTTTCCTGTGACTTTACCATAGTTACACCAATAGATAACTTGAGTTTGCTTTTTTATCCCCTAGGGCTTCCCTGGTCCTCGAGGCGAGAAGGGTGACCTGGGAGAAAAGGGAGAAAAGGTGACTTTTCCCAGCATGCACCTTGTGTGATTCTGCTAGCACTGTCTGCTCTATGGCTGAACCTGTGTGATGCTGTCATTCACCTTTCCTGTCTCGGTCCTGTGTTCCAAAAACATACAGATGGCTGATCTAAGGAATCAGGTCTTCAAAGAGGACTAAAGAAGACTACACAGCTAGAAATGAGGGCACCATCCAGCAAAGGATTCTAACCCCTGGGTGTCACAGCTTCAGTCTCTCAACTTCCTGACACCAATTTGTTTTAAATGTAACGTCCAGGGGATTGAATTTTTTTTTCTCACAAAAGTAAAATCACAGTGCACAAACCTGAATGGTATTTTGGCAACACCCATCTTATCCACAGGCCAGGATCTCATTTACCATTATGACATTCTTAAGAGAAACTGATGCATGCAGCATTTTTAATTTTTAAACTCAGAAGTAGAAAGAAGCATTGTTATCTGTAAAACCAATAGTTGTAGCCTTTTGAGTTAAAAATTGGCTTTTTTATGGCTTGGCCGATATCAAACAACAGATTTTATGAGTAAAGTTTAAACAACAACACCTTCTTTAGTTCTGTGTTCTCTCTCTCTCTCACTCTCACTTTCTCTCTTTGTCTCTGTCTCTGTCTCTCTCTCTGGTTTGCTGTAGTCTTTAATCCATTAGTAAATCAAATAAGGTTTTATATTGGATGAAGCAAAAGACAACAAAAAGTCAACAACAAAGATCTTAAAGTAATTGAATAGCTACATCATGATTCCAATTTAAACCAGTTTCCCTGATACATGTAATAATGTAGTGTTTTTGAAAACTCAGGGAATTCTCTTGACCAGTGAAACTCTTCCCTATTGTGATGCAAGCCCAAAGGGGGTATGCCAAAGAAAGGGAATGAAGTTCACTGCATATGTATTAAGAACTAAGTTCCTCAGCCTCTCTCTGGTAAGAGCCTATACAGTGGTATTTCCAAAGCACGACCATCAACAGCATCACATATGTTGAGCACTGAGCATTACTTTCCCCAAGAGCTTTACACATGATAAACCTTGAAATCTTCACACCACCACCCTGAGGTGGGTGCTATCATTACCCAATTCTCACACACAAAAAAGAAAGTTTGCCATAAAAAGGTTTTCTCCATATTGCAAATCCTGAGTACAGGTTTTATGTGGTTTGAGATAATCTTAGTGCAAGAACACGTGGCAAATTGTCTTAAAGGCTATGTTCACTTATTTTATATTTACCTAGTAGGCTGTATGCTACTCAGGTTTATGATCTTTAAAAAGGTTAGAAATTACCACTATTGGCTCATTGGTAGAGACCTTACATCCATGCACAGAGCCCTGAGTTCATTTCCCAACATTGCAAAGAGGAGGAGGGTGTAGGAGAGAAGAGAAATTTCCATTCATATAGCTTATAAAAGCACAAACTCCCAAGCCCATCTTCAGAAAAATGTTAACTGCCCATGTGAAAATATTTCCATGATTAGAGGATTAACATTCAGGAAAATTAGATTCTGAATGCTGAACACTCTGCGTATTTTTCTTTGATATAAGAAGTAAAAATTGACATTTCAACTGCTCATACACACAATGAGAGATAACTTTGTGGCACATAGATAATCACTATTTTATAACCTGATGTTGATTAGTAACATTGACATATTATTTTAATCTCGTTTCCATAATCACTTAAATTTTAACCATAGGAGAAAAGCATTGCCTATCACTGAATTTGAGTATTCAGTCTTAAGCCCACTTGCCGATCAAATAATGAATTGCACCAAATAACCAACACTCCTGAGCTCTGTTAGACCCACTCAAAGACAGACCTAGGGCTTCATGGAGGGCAGAGCACACCCATCAAGTTTCGGTTTATATCATGGCATGGAAGCCGCTTGGTGCAGGAGGGCACTGGGTCTTCACGGATCAGTGCATCACCCACTCGTCATACCTGCTTTTCCTTACCCTCCCTGTCACATCCTTGTCTTCAATCATGCACCACTAAGTGCTCAGAATGTCTTTAGCCTGCATTCAAGAAGCCCAAGTGGTTTTGATTCCAAGCCTTCTGCTGCAATGTTTTTGGCACACCGGAGATGAATGAGGAGGAGCTTCGGCTCGTGCTGTCAGAGTGAATGCAGAAATTTGAATGAGTGTCTCAGACATGTCTGTGGTGTGTGTCGTTCTGTCGTTTCTCTTTGAATATTCATGCTGTTTGCTTCAAAGACTATTCAGTCTTACTGTAACCGCCATCCAGACTGCAGAATGAATGCTCTCATTTAAGTATGTATCTATGTATCATCTTTTGCCTTCTGCACAGCACCAACTCCCTGTCTATGTTTGCAGATGTGTATGTTAATGTAAAACAGCTGGGGTGCATTCCTTCCTTCCCCTCCTTTTGCCTCCTTTCCTTAATTCCTCCATCCCTATGATCCATGCAGACGTCCCACAACCTTGACCTTGATTCCCAAATACTAATTTCCACAGCTACACTCCCACTATGCGATTATCCTGCCTACCTCATTTTAATGAGCCCAGACTGCTTTTCCTATCCACAGCATTGCGAGCTGGAAACTCATTTACCATTGTGAACAACTGGCATCAGGTCAACAAGAGAGTGAAGATACCATCTAGGTTTTTAGACGTTGGTTCTCCACTTGGCATTGCCACCAACTATTAGCACCTGAAGCTTTTGTTTAACTCATTAAGTCAAAGCGCTTACTTTCATACCTGGACATTTTTACTGAGAGCTGCAAAACAGAGTATCTTTGGACATCCCTGGGAGAGATGGAAGCCATTGCCTCTCCCTCTGAGTCTGTGTAGCCATCATGTTTAAAGAATAAGGAGGAGGGAAAGGCAAGTTGAAAGGTACTTGTAATTGGGTGTAGTATCCAGTGCCCACCCAAGTCCACCTGCCTCTGACGGCCTCAGCACCATTGATCCCCAACATCTTTGCCAGGTCCACAGCACAAATCCCTAATTCATAACTGACTCCAATATTATGGCGGTCAGCCATCTGATCTACCTTTCTGATGCCTCAGCGCTTTTGGTCTCCTCCTCTCTTCAATATCATAAATAAATAATAAGTCCTGATGCCAGAATCCATTTTCACCATGGCAGTTGAAGCTTTGTTTTGTTTAGTAGCATCGTGTCTTCTCTATACCAGAACACAGTGGTAAATGCCCTTCCAGACTATTCCTGGCTAAGCCATATTCTGAGTTATTTTTTATTCTACACCCCCCCAAATAAAATCTGTCTTTTATTTAAACCCTTGTATTCACAGGGGGAAAAGGGAAAGAAAGGCAAAAAGGGGCCTAAAGGGGAGAAAGGAGAACAGGGCGCTCCTGGATTAGATGCACCCTGCCCGTTGGTATGTCTAACTTGTGCAACTGTCTCCAGATGTTTTGTGTGAGGGTTGAGTTGGGAGAGGAGCAGGCCAGAGAGACCAGTAACAGCAGGTTCCCCTGAGGGCCATTTACATGGTCCTGTGGACAGGCGCTCAGAGGTGTGTGCCCAGTATACACTGACATCGGTATACACTGACGTGTCTCATGTCATGTTTTATATTCATCCCCCCCACTCTAGTTCCAAACTCAAGCCTGACTATAGGATGTGCAGAAGAGTCAATGCCACTCTAGTCTCCTCAAAAGAGGAGGCTGTGGTACCCTGACCAAGCCTCCTTGTGATAATGGGAAACTCCTCTGCGTGTTACTGTCCCTTCTAAATTGTTCCTCTCCCAGCTTATTCTTCTAGTTGCTTCTTCAGCAGATTTGTTGCTTTCAATGAATTCTTGGATTAGTAACGTTATGAGTTAATCTTTACAAACAGGGATTCCGTGGCGTTAAGGGGGAAAAGGGGGAGCCAGGCCAGCCTGGCCTGGATGGGCTGGATGCCCCTTGCCAATTGGTACAGTATTTCTCTTTCCTACCATCCTGCATGTCGTTCCTTTATTTACCATGTATTCATCTGTATCAGTGTAAAGCCCTTCTTTCTGGAGCAGGCTTTACATGATAAACATACTACATGCATGTGCATGAGCAGACTCCTCCCTGGGATCTGCAGAGGGAGAGAGCAAGCACGTGTTATCGACGAATGCCAATTAATCGTCTAACATTGTTCTCACTACTGACGTGTCCATCTCTATGTTCTTTAGAATATTAACTTACCCAGTAGATATCCAGAGATTATGTGTAAGTTAGATAAAAATACATGATGCAAAGAAAGCACAGGTAGGCCAGAACTTTGGGCTTTCACCCTACTCATATTTTTTTTCCTTTCCTCTAGAAGAAACAAAGGTATTTTTGTATCTCCCACTATAGTTTTCTCAGGCCATCAATAAGGATAAACCTACATAACTAAGCTTCTGCCATCAAGGGTTAACCAATGCACAGCAACTGTATTAAGAGACCATAGGAAAGAAAGCATTGGTCCTGCACATCTGAAGATGATAATTGTCTGCAGCCTAAACCCTCTTCTCTTGTCATAACCTTTCCGGTATATAATGGTCTCTCCTTTTAAAACTCACTTTCCCAAAATAGACGGAACTCCCTCCTCCATTGGCATGAACTCAAAATCCTCCTTATACTAAAATCTAAAATTCTACTGGCTGATCCTTTCCCTTGTACCAATCTGGCATTACCAGTTTCTCCCAAATATGTTATAAAGCTAGATTTTTTTTTACAATTAAAAAGGCAGTGTGGTTATATTTTATGGAGTATAGAGAAAGCTTTTTATCATCGTGTTCCACTTGGTCTGCATGGCCTTACATGACTCTTCAGTTATCATAAGCATGACTCGTTAAAAAGGTACATGTATTATTTTGTGTCTTTTAAAAGATAATATGCATAGAAAAAAATGTTATTCAGTCAATTGTTATAGTTAGAAAATATTAATATGGAGTACTCTGTCTTTTGTTTGCTTGGTGTTAAGTCACACTTTATAAGCTCCTTCATTGGAGGAAAATGCATGCCTTCGACTGTGTCACATCTTCCAGTCTCGTTTGTATCTGAAGATGCTTACATCTTAAAATATATTTTGTAGTATTCAGGACCCTTCATTCGGGATGTTAACTAACTTCTGAAGATTTAAACAGATGTTCTGGTGAACAGCGTGCATGGCACTTGCTCTAATGTGTAGGTAGACTGCCATGCTTCAAATGAGCAGATTTTGTAGTACCCACTTACCCTATAAGAAGGTAGACAGCACAGGCATACGGAGAGCTATAAACTTCAGATAGAAATGGATTGCCATTAATTACCATTGCCATAAACCATAGTCCATAATGGCCACAAGGAAATGAAACCGATTAATTTGGCAAAGACAACTGTGGCATTAAGAGACGTAATATCTAAAGGTGTACTGTGAACAGAGCACGAGGCAATTATGCTTTGTAAATCTGATTTTCAAAATTAGACATAGCTTTTTCCATATTTGCCTATTTTCTAGATGTGTACTCAGTCTAGAAAACATTTGAATTACCTTCATTTTAGCTAACAGTAGGTAAAATATCATGAGCCACTCCTTAGTATAAGATGTCTATGACTGTTTTTGAAGTCTCTGAGCATGTAGACTTATATCTGATCATTATTAGGAGCCTAAGGAATTCTTTTCTTCCCTTCAAAACCAGGGACCTGATGGATTACCCATGCCTGGCTGCTGGCAAAAGGTAGGTAGGCCTTATGGCTTTTTTGTTTGTTTGTTTGTTTGTTTGTTTGTTTTTCTAAGAAGAAACCCTAATCTTGACCAGGCCCTTTCCATTACAGAACAGACCTTTTACATTGACATTCTTGAAAACTGTTTAGGTATTTCAAAACAAATATGAAAGCTCTAGGCAATCTTTAAATGAGCGTGTTTATTACCGATTTCCTCCCAAACAAATGAGCAAAAGCAGTTCTTGACAAATTATAATCTGGAATCTCAAAGTCTGTTTGTGATGGAAAGGCACAATATTTAGAAAACATTTTTAGTTGTGATTTTTCCCTTTGTAACACTTGCAGTGGCAAATACACAGATATATGGCAGAACTCTGTCAATATTAGTCACACAACTGAGAAAGCAGAAAATATAAACATACCATTTATCAGCAATATCTTGATTGAGTTAGTAGTGTCTGCTTCAGCTTATACTGTCAGCCTTTATATTGGTTTGCTTGATCCTCATCACATGATGTCCACAGTCACTATGAATGCATTCAGTACAGATGGCTCTCTCAGAGAACCTTCTGTGCACAGAGGCTATATGTTATGTCCTGTCATACAGGGATATTGTTTCAGTTAATCCATATGGTAGTCTACACGAGTAATACAAAGTTGGAAACATGAAGAAACTTCCAAGAGTGACAAGTTGGAAGGTAACAGGTCTAGGGAGAGTAAGCAGCCGGAAGTAACAGTAGCAGTGTTTCAAACAGGTAGGCAGGCCTCTCTGCATTCTGCATTGCCCAGGGAGTGCAGACTCCCTACATGGTAATGCCATAAGCCCAGTGTGCAGGTTACCAGAGGGCAAAGAAATGCCTAGAAATGGCAATGTGATAAGGAAGTATCCATGTTGCTTTGATAGTTTTGAAATTTTATCTCCAATACTCTGTAGCTTATCCTGTAACTGTAGCCAGCCACGCTTCATCACAAAATTAGAGTAAACTATGTAAGCCAGAGTGTGGAAACATGAGGAGACACTGGGTTCCTGGTTGCTTCTCAAGGCAGCAACTGAACCATCAGGAAACCTTATGTAATTTGCTTTCTCAAGTAGCTTCACATGCTTAGCTGGCGACAGAAAAGCCTTGTCTCATAACAGCATCATTTATTTATTGGCTCCCCCTTTAGTCCTATCAAATAATTAACTCAGTTGCATCTGAAGTCAAGAGGGTCCCTGGATATAGAGCCGCTCATCAGATTCTCCCCTCACCTGGTAAAACCAGCCTCTTGCCAGCTTAGCTTCCGTGCGCAGACATTGTAATACCATCCTATGCAGGGATGGCCATTTGCTCTCTAACCTCTCCCTTGTAATGTAATAAAATAGTGATTTCTTTTTAAGCTAGTCATTAGCACACCGCACCTAGAGATGCTAACAGTTCATTCCCTCCACACTGTAACACCACTCGGAACTTGGAGTCCTTTCTGGTCCAGGACACTTCTGAATCATTTCATAAAGACATACATATGATGGCCGAAAGCAAATGGCTTTTCATCTTGTTAGCCCCTGAAATTAAAACCTGACAGTAACACAAATAGTGTGACAGAGTCAGAATTGTTCATGTAAACATTCGCCTTTCTATAAAATAGATCCTATATTCTGCATAAGATTAAGAAGCTTGTGAGTCTAGCCCCTTCTACAAAGGAAAATAACCCAATTATAAACCTTTGATGTTGCCTTAGTACCTCCGCACAACACATATGAACTCCAACCAAGTCTTCCTTCTCCCAATATCAATGAAATAATTAGGAAAATGCCAATTTCTCAAATTTCTTAAATAGCCAATTTAGATATCTCAAATATTCAAATAATTTTTTATTGATATGTCATCAGTAAAGCAGGTAGGTGGCTTCTGATTAGTCCTATTTTATTTAGGCTAGCCAGTATAAACACATTTGTGGAATTTTAGTGCTTAATTAGCGAATTTAATATACATAATGGAGTCATTATGACATGTATATATTTGATCATATTCATCCACTATTCTCTTGCCTATTCCCCACTACCACTGATTTCCTTTCCAACTAGTCCCCCTGCTATTTTGATGGTCTAATGAATTTCATTAGGTTTCTTAGAGAAACAAAGATTATTTCTCTGAGAGTATAGATTGTTCATAAGAGTATGGACACCTTAACAGTGGTCAGACTGTTAAAGAGATCATCTATCCATCAACTCCATATAGATCCTCCATGATAGGATATTGAAAGATTCAGTCTTATGCAGTTTTTCTTGGGGGAAAAAAAAGTGTTATTAATGACCTGGGACTCTGAACTAGTTATCTGTGGAGAACGGGTCACAGGCATCTATTATCCTACTCTCCTCTAGATTTTACTTTTCTCTGAGTAAAACTAAAGGATAGAGGAAGGAAGAAAGGAAGCCCCAGACATTGTGGCAGCCTTTAGTGCCAGCATCCAGAAGACCCAAAGAGCTCTGTAAGTTAGAGACCAGGCAGAGCTACACAGTGAAACCCTGTCTCAAAAACAAACAAAACAAAGCAAACTCCTACAGAAGCCTCTAAGATCTGCTCTATAAGCTAATGTTGCAATGAAAACCATCACACTTGCATAAGAACTGGTAGTGGGCGGGTTTACCTTTCCAGGTTGCTTTCAGGGCAAGGCTAGTTATAGGAAAAAAGGAGACGTGAATAGGAAAGGCTTATGCATTATAGGCAGGAAGCTGTTGGTCAATACTGCCTTTGAGCTTGGACCTTTTTGGCCATTATTGGGTTGTGTTGTAACACCTGAAGACATTGTGTGTACTAATGAAAGCATGCCTGTAATAAAATCACAGTTTTCTGCTTTCCCAGCAAAGTGACTAATACGGTCACTTACCATAAAGTTCTAGGTTGGCAATGGAAAAATATGGGTTGGAAGTAAGATGAGAACGATGATAAACTGGAGTTTTTAAAAGTATGACATGGGAAACATCAAATGCTGAAACGAGCTTACTGGCTTGAGGGGGACAAAAGGACTGCAAGGCTCTTCCAGTGTTTGTAAAATACTTGTTAATTTGGAGTTATTATCAAAGACCCACTAACTCCACGTGTGTCTCTTTGTTGTCTGTTTTTCTGCAGTGACGAATCTAACCTTCCAAGCATGAAGCTGTGTATATAATGGTCCACCTTTTGTATTTATAGTTGAAAAACCCGAATTGCAGATTTTGCAAGTGTGGAATCTGCTCACTGGCGCTCCCTCTCCCTGCTCACAGTAGTACCGCCGTCCATCTTTTTTCACACCTGAAATTAGGCAGTTTACCCAAGTGAGGAGCCTGCAGGAAATAGAGATCAGTGTCTCTATTTTATGTGGACATACATATTTATATAGGCCTCAGTGATAAAGAATGATTGCTCTCGCTATTTTCTGTTTTGGGGCTTGCTGATTGCATGGACAAAAGGTGCCGTGAAATAGTTGACATGAAATTGCGGCCTAATATGGACTCAAGGCTATGACTGTGTAGCTCACATTCCCTAGTAGCAGTCACTCATGCCCACACCACCTACTGAAACGTACTAAAAACAGCATGACCTTGTGCCAACCCTGCTTGTGCAAATGCAGATGTCTGCATGCTGCCTCAGAAGTTCTTTGAGTACATCTGAGCTTTTGTTCCTTTTGTCGTCTCAAGGGGGTTACACCGTGGCTTATTGCCAAAAAGAGATAAGCTGACGGAGAGCACACACACAGTTGGTCTTACATTTTGAGGGAGTTGCAGTCCCGACTGCAGATCCACAGCTCCTAACAATGTGGGCTCCTGTGACCACCTTGGTTGAAATACCAAAGGGTTGAGCCGACTATTGCCACTTGTTTTCCTCTGGCTGCGCTTGGCAGTGAAGACGCCTGAAGAGGACCGGTTCTGCACCCTGCACTGTCTTTTGTGTGACCAAGTTGGAAGGAGGTTCATAACCATGAACACCCAGGACAGCAGGAATTGTTTTTCTACAAAGGCTGACTTCCCACGGGTGCTTTGGGAAGATGTCAGAGGTAATTGCGCAGCAGTGTTTTGGAGTGTTTTGAAAACAGCAGAGCCTTGGAATGGAAGTCCCTGTTTGTTCAGATTGGAAGGTGCAGACACTATCCCCTCAGAGCTCAGGTGCTGAAGAGAGAACTTGTTCCAAGAAGGGTCAGACAGGATAAGCTTTGCCACAAATGCAGGGGAGTTAGTGTTAACTCTACCAAAGGTGGCCCGAAAGCGTCCCTCTCCCCCTTCCTTTCGGGGTTGACCCACAACATTTTTTTTTCCTACAAGTCCTAGAGACAAAATGTAGTTTCCATTTTCTCTCCTACATTTTATTTTCTTAGTTCAGAAACAAAATATTTGCTTCAGTTTGGGTCTCATAGGTCTTTAAAGATTGTTTTTTAAGAAAAGTTTTGAAATCATAATTTGAACCCACTGGTAAAAATGACCTCTTAACATCTCCTTTTTGGTTTGCGTGAAATAATTGAAGAGATTGTGGGGAGACTTCATTTTTCCCTAATTATTATGAAGTATGAAGATTAAGAATTTCTTCACTACTTTTTAATTTACACTGACGAATTTACCTGTCAGTTATTGTAAAGATTTTAGCATGAACTTGCTTCTTCTAAGTTTTTCCTATATTGAAGTTTATTTCTTCAGTTTTGTTTTTACATTTCTGCGTGTTTGTCTTATACACAGACCAAATCTGAGATCTCAGAAAGCTCTGAAATACAGTTGCCAGAGAAAGGGTCTTGTTTTCTCTAACTTGTTCAGAACATACCTAAGCAGACTCTGACTGGGAATTTATTTGCTAAGTTTGTGGCATGTTTTGAAATGATTTATTCTAAGTGGAAGGGTTGCTTGCGAGAATCACCCTCCATGGGAGTGGTGATCCTAGTAACCCATTAGAGAATTTTATTTCCCTCGGTGATTAAATGTCATTTTTGTGGGAACATTTCTAGTTTGGTGCTTGGATTTTCACCACCAGAGGGGAAATCAGTTCATGCTTAGGATGACAACAACGAAGATACAGTTTCAAAGCAGATCTTAAGATGTCTTTCATATCATGTAACCAAACACTCAATCATACAAAATGATGTCATCTTTTTTTGTTATGCCATTTCTGAGATTAGAACTTAAATGTTAGATCAGACTATCTGGTAATATTTCTAATGACATTCCACACTTCTAAGCCAATTTAGCATTTGTGTGTGGGGGTTTTTTTTGTGGGTAGAGAGTATTTTCTAACAATTTCTTGTATGATGTGGGTAGGGTAAGATATTTCTCAGTATATGAAAGAATGTGTCTTAAATCATTTGGGAGACAAAAATGAGCCCAAGATTACACATTATCTTCAGGAACAAAAAAACAAAGCAACTATGGAATCTTGAGGACAATCTGGAGACTATATTTCCTCAAACTTCAATTAGAAAGAGGTTTCGGGATGGATCATGACTTAAAACTTAGATTCAAATGAGAGTAGCTCAATGGTAAAAGCATCATTAAGACATTGGACATGCCCCTGTAAAGAATACTGCACGGACTGTGTGCGCACTGGGGTTTTGCTCGTAAGACACATTTAAAGGAATGCCTGAACTTCTACTTCATGAACTTCCTTGGAACAGACATGGGACAATGGCAGTCATCTGTGCTCGGTGGCTTGCTACCTTAACTACCAGGAGTTAACCTTAAACTTGGGACTACTGAAACGTCTTTAATCATCCATTCTGTCATCAACCTGAGTAATTTCCAAAGGAATCAGTAACAGATTGTCATTGTTGATACGTATGTTTATAGATAGCATTCTTTTTCATAAAGATTTCCTTAGGAGAATTAAGGAAAAAAGGTATGAAACACCCACTGGAAATATGTCAAGATCGGGTTTTACTTCAGAGCAGCAAATGTCTCTAAAGGATGCCATTGTTGTATCATTTTACATTGCTTTCCATTAGCCTTGGTTGCTGCTGGTAAATATCCTTCCTTTTTGTCTCTATGGATAGTGGACCTCGACTATGGGTAACTTCATTTCTCTGTTTAATGGCATTCCTAAGCTGTTAGTGTGTGGTTTTATTTTTGAAGATCATGAATCTGTTGTAAATGTAGCCCAGCGACCAGCCTTTCCTAATGTAAAACAGGGTTCTGTGCCCCCCTTATTCTGCGTTCACTTTATATCTATACCATATGCCTTTATAAGTTTTCATTTACCTTTTTTTTTTTTTTTTTGAGTTCACTCACCTTTCAGCTTACACACAGTAAGCTAGATGCAGCCAGTGTTAGAGAAATCTACATTTGACGTGTGGGATACCGGTACATAAGTATGCCCGAATCCCTCCCTCAGCTGTCCTTTTCCATTATCAAATGCAGCTTCGGAGGGTTTTTCCTTATGCTGTTATTTTATGGAAAATATTGGAATGTATCTAACTCCTACCAATAGAAAGTTCTTGGGATTTACACTCTGTGAGTATGATTGTTGGTGGGGCAGTTTGCACATGTATCCGCTAGCTTAAGGAAGTGGTTAGATCGCCACTCCGCACCTATGGGAAAACTGTCCTTGGTATTTTTTTCACTTAGGAAATGTGCCTATTTTCCAAGTACTCTTTAAAAATATTGGTAGTAAAACATAAAAAATAACATTTAACCCCCTTCCCAGTGTATTTTTCTGATAGTGGTTCAGCATCTTCTCAAAAGTGGTTACTAGAAACTTAGATGCTGACATCAGAAACCTCGGTTTTCTTCCTTTCTTGATGACATTCGGATTCTTTTGATGTTTAATGCTACCAAAACATGCAATTTAATCATTTTTACCCCCCCCCCAAAAAGCCCTACCTACTAGTTCATAGGTTTCACCGGATGGAGCTGTTATACTGGTGGTTGACGAGTTATACTTCTGCCCAGCTGTGCTAGGATATAAAGGTCCTCTGCGCCCACTTCCTGTTCTCTTAACACATCTACTCACCCAGAGATACTCCTCTAACTTAGACTGCTGGTGAATTTACTTAGGGTTTTGGTTACTTCTATAGTAACAAACATTTTAATGGCTTCTTTTTATTTCCACTAAAATACATTTACATGCATAAACTGCTGATTAGCAGGCTGTCTTGTTATGCTTGATTTCTTGACAACAAAGAAAATACCACTTCTCTGACATATCCCAAGAACATTAATGAGTCAGGTTCACAACGAATGTCTTGCACATTGTTGGAGTTTGGGTGGAAATTCTTCATAGTGTTGTAAATGTTTCATTAGGGTGGACATTTTTAAAAAAGATGTATGTATCTGATTTATCTTTTGGAAATATTATATTTTTATTTGTATTTTTTACATTTTAAAGTTCATCTCCATGTGCAGCTATTTTTATATTGCCAAAAACTCACATAAATACACAGGAAGAGAGAAATGGGAAAATATGGCAAACATTATCTTGTGGGGTTTTTTAGTGTTTCATGGGCCAGTCTCATGAACTTGGTTATTCTAATAATGTGTTATCTTTTCACTGTATATATGGTGCGAACCTGATTGTCTTGGTATTGTAAATATCTAAAATTGAATTTTCCCCATTTGATTTCTTTTTTCAATTTTCCCACCTGCCGTTATTGACTCATGGGCCTTTGAAGGCTCTGATTTGCAATCTGGAGATAATTGCTTTGGGTTCACTTTCTAATTTGTTTTTTATTTACTTTTAAAACTTGTTTTCAGGGGTCTTAGTTTGTGAGAAGCTGATCTTCAGAATTATTTTTACACTATTTATGACTTATTTTCATAATGTAAAAAGTGTGTAATTATTACAGTATTAACCCAAACAATGATAATGAATTGTATTGTTATAAAGTTTTAATGACATCCCTGAGAACTTTGTCCTTTTATTTACAAACAGGTGACAAATCATTTCGGTCTACTTTTCTTCATTATTGTAACCCTACCATTCACACCCTAGTGTGGTAATATTTTTTTTTTTTTTAAATGAATGTTTTCTAGGTCATGTAATAATGTTTCCACTCAGTCACTTTGTTCTGGAATTCCCTATCTGGATGATGTAAGCTACCTGACACTGTGTCATCTGTTGCTCTCCCACACCACACAAGAGAATAGTGCATATTTCACTGCATACCAATATACCACGTGACCTGCGTGACTTGGGCCTGCAGAAGGCACCAGAGATCTGCCAAAGCCCTTCCCAACACTCTTAAGTCCTCATATCTTGTCCTCCCTACCTCTTCTTTCTCCTTGCCCTCTGCTAGGA